TGCACAAACATCTCTGTTTCTCAGTAGAAGATTTTTCTCAGAAACCTTTAATATTCTCAGATATTTGTAGAACCAGCCACTTCCTAAGAGTCCAGGAATTTTAAGTAAAGCTCTCTCTCCCAGCATATAAAACATTGGGACCACTTCCCTAATTTCACCGTTTACCATTATTTTCTACTATGAATAATACATTTTATTAAGGTTAATTCTGTTACACTAATTTGTTTCAATTCACTACTCAGAAAATTGGGGGTAGGGAGGAGGAGGTGTTAAATGTTAAGGAATGTGCTATACAAATTAAAATAGTTCCTGTGGGAGAGATCTGAGAGAAAGTCCCAGTTCATGTGTAAGCTACTATCAAAGGGAAAAAAAATCCTAAAATTTTATATCACTTTTTATTTTTTATCCAGTTATTTGATAAATCTATTCTTTCTGATACATATTTTAAATATTATAAATAACACTGAATAGGAAGTTTTATATTGTGGTAAATTTCAATTTGATAGCTTCTTAAATAGACTATATTGTTTGTTACTACTAGTCTATACTTCAGCCAGAGTAACATACTACCATAAAGAACTGCAAAAGCCAAAACCCTCAGTGTTTAGGAAAATGAAAATACTATCAGCACAACCTGTCCTATATCAGATTCAATCATGCCCTCTTGTGTATAAGTATAGCATAGCAGCTCTCATTTTATTTATTTATTTTTTATTTATTTATTTTTTTAATAGAGGCATGCTTTATTTATTTGTTTGCTGGTTTGTTTGTTTGTTTTGTTTATACATGCACTGGGTACAGTCAGAAGTGCGGGAGGGCGAGAGAATTCACCAGAGCCAGAGCGGGGAGCAGAGCAGGCAGAAGGACCCAAGTACACTGCTGAGGGGAGCAGCGGGCTGCAGGAGAGGTCTGCGCGCCATGTGGGACCCTCCTCTGGTGGCCGGGGAGCAGCCGGGGATCGAACCGGCGCCGCAGAGGCCGCGCGCAGCTTCGCAACCCAGCGCTCAACCGCTGCGCCACCGGGGAGGCCCGCAGCTCTCATTTTAAAATGAAATAAAATAGGTGCTGAGGATACAGTTGTGGACAAGACCTACAATATCTCCAGAGATTATTTAGGATTTACTTTTATTATTATAGAAAGTTAAATCTTATTTGAAAATCTCCATTTGAAGATTAAGCAATTCATTATATGGTAAAAAAAAATAGTTTTATGGGTTAAAGAAGAAACACTAGAAATCATTTCTTTAGTCTATAATCAAATTACTGATTCAGTTTGCCCCTCAAACTGTCTCCTTAACGGTCAGTGGTTAAAAAAAAAAAACAAAAAACAAAAAACATATATAATACACTGATTTACTTCTATAGCATTACTTACAAAGAAATATTCTTCAATACAATGTATTGTGATGTTTCCTTGTAAAGCTCTTATTTACTCTTAATGTGCTAGTTGTCACTGAAAAACCTCTGAGACTGTAATTTTATAGTTTATGATCACAGGAATACTTTCTTCATTAAATTACAGACAAGAGATAGAGTTTTTGTCTATGTTATTAAAATTGAAATTCCCTAAATCTCATTATATATTCTTACCATCTGCATTTTTATGATTCCTATCTAAAGAAATCTTCTAAAAATCTCAGAGCTGATATAAATTCCTCAGATTTTACTGTCTGGTTTTTGTGGCTTTCAAAAACAAAAGGTTTTTTTTTTTTAATTTAAAGGGACAGTGATTTAATTGTGATAAGTGCATTTAAAAGACATATTTTGTTGCCTAGAATGAACCTTCCTATAATGAATGTAATTATAATATGATGTAAACCACATTGGACAGATCTGGAAGAACCTGGTTTTAATAAAACACTTAAATCAATAATCATCCATTCTAGCTTTTTATTACCCAAAAACTGATATTGCAACATTGCATCCTTAACAGTAAAATCATCCTATTTATGTCAGGAGATTATTCCCTCATTCCTAAGTGTGAAGACCACTGTACATTTCTCACTTAATGAATTGCCCAATGGTTCCTACTCTTACTCTTAGTAAGAGTATATTCATATTCTACCTCAGTGTGTGGCAGGAGAGGGGTATTTGGTTATGGTTAAGGATAGTCCTATATCAGTGATAAGGACCCCCCAAAAAACAGCAATAACAACATTGAAATCCTTGTCCTTATTTTGTCCAGCTCAGAACTCTCATCTAGTGCTAAAGTCACTTCCAGGAAAAGGTGTATTTGTCAAAAACTTTACAAATGTTTAGTTGCCTTTGGCTGAAAGACATAACTGTGTCCGAGGAAAACTATGACCACATCAGGTACACTTTAGCAATTGAAGGTGTTTTTAATGTTTAAAATTCACTGCATTTCACCAATGGGCTAAAATGGAAAACAATACCATCCATCATTTCAATAGATGGAGGGTAAGTGTTTGGTAAAATCTAATATCCATTCTTAATTACAAATGAAACAAATTAAGCCATAAGTGCAATAACTGGGGCTGGGACAAGATGAGCCTAGTCTTCCTGTGTCTGTATTTTTCCTGCCATAATACTATCTCCCCTCATTCTAATTCCTAAAACAAATTCTATTAGCCTCTATTGCTTTCACAAAATGTCATTGGTTCCCTAATGTCTACAATATAAAGTGCAACATCTATGCATAACATACAAGGTACTTTATTTCACCTCAACCTCTCTTTCCAGATTCAATTTTTGTGAGTTTTTGTAATATCGTTTCCCCTGCTAGCTGAAAATAGGGCATTCCTATTTGGTATGATTTCATAGATTATTTCTGAGGTTTGGGAATGCTCAAAAATTATCCATATAAATTAATGTAACAGGGTTTTCAGGCACCCCAAACAATGTATTAAATCATACCAAATAGAAACTTTAATGATAGATAGTGGGAAAAACTCTTAGCTACACAGCAGTCGGTCAGAATTCCATGTGTATGCCTTTTAATTTTCTGCCTGCACACATTTGTGCAAGCTATTTTCTGCTTAGAGGGAGTTCCTCAGTATTCTCTTCTTTGAAAAATCCAGTTTACCCGGATCAACCCTTGACCCATTTACAATCTATTTTTTACAGGCACACAGGATGATTTTTGTTTAACATGTACACACTGCTAGAACATCTGGAAGCACATGGGAATTTCAGAAGTCATAAATTCCAATGTACCATTTGTTATTTTCCTGTAATATATCCATATGATATACAATTTTATCATAACTTTCACGTAAATTTTTCCCTCCAGGTTTATTCTGTGAAAGCAAGAAACTTAAATCAATCATTTTTCATGTTCATGGTTTAGTGTTTTCTTAGTCATTTCAAGCATTAATTTAGTCATTTCTGGGTATCATTTTTGGCCCTACCTTTGACTCAGTGTGGCATCTAAGGTGGGGAGCTCACTATGGTGTCTACATCAGCAGAGGCATCTGATCTGGAGTTGATTTATTTTCTCTGATACTTGAGTGCAACAGATAGGTATCTATTCTTGTATGGTTTTAGTCTTCAGCATATATCCCCATTGTTATCTGTTGCTGAAACATTTTTTGTCCACTGGCTGTCATGTGCATGATACATGCTGACTGAAACACTATTTCAGGTTCTATGTCAACTGTCAACTATTCAGGATCACAGGGTATGATTACTGTTTGATGCTTCTCTCTATGAAATATAGTAGACCAGGGCTATCATATTCCTGTCACCAGATAGCTCCCTGTACCTTACTGCCCCATATACTAATGTAAATCTGTTACTTCCTCTGGCAGACAGCCTGTTAAAACTTTTCTACAAAGCTCTTCAAGATTCAGGGAAACTTGCTGTTAACCTTGCCATTTCTTGAGGATTTATTTGAAGAGCAAGATGCTCAGGTCATCCCCAAACACAGAGAAGTATCTCAGAGTCTCATGTCTAGGACTACTTTACAGTATTAGGATGATGTGGATGATTCCCATAAAACTTGTAGTTTACTAAAGGCAAGGACAGTGTGTTTTACTCATGGTTGTGCCTCATTCATTATGGTCAGGTAAATATTTATTGATTATCCAGCACCTTGTCAAAAACAATTTTTCTTAGTATTAAATATTTTGCTTTTGATGGCGACTTCTTCCTGTAACCTGTTACAAAGAGTGTGTCATATGGGTTATAAGAAGTAGGAAACACCAACTTAAGAGAAATGTAAAGTAAGTCACGAAATAGTACAAACAAAGCAAAATGAACCATAGTACTTACAGCATGAGCAAAAATGTTTTCAATGCCAGAAACACAGAAGGAGGCCGCAAGCCCACTTTTAAGTGCTTTCTTAACAATAACTCCCCCAGTCGTGTTTCCTTTCCTTCCTCCCCTTGTCTGACCAAAACTCTGTGATACCCAGTTCAAAACAGAATCTTTAACTTACAGTCCTTTTCAGCCCAAGTCCACATCCCATTAAAATTTCCTTCTTACTCTAAAATTTCCCATGCATTACAGTTTGTGTTTTTGCAGCACGTAACAAACTTAACTTAATGAGCTTATTAAAAAAAAAAAATCTTAGGGGTCATTACTACACGTGTAAAGAGCATTCAACAACTCGGGATGGAGAGAGGGATGTCTATATCCATGACGACGACTAACGTAATGCTCTAAGTAAGAGCAAGCACCCACAGTCCTAAAACCAAATCTCATTAATGACAAAAAAAAAAACAAACAAACAAACAAAAAAAAAAAACTACCGCAATTCAATCTTCCAGAAGAAAAAAAAAAAAAAGTAGCAGGCAAGGCAATGGGCCGGGAAATGGAGACTCGCAGGAGAAGATTTCGGTTTAACCCTCCTGGAACTCTGACGTCCCCTCTACGTAGCTCATCCCTAGAGAGTGCGAGGAACGCGCATGCGCAGCGCCTCCAGGCCGCGCCGTAGTCCTTTCCACGCCCGAGTTGCATCCGGGTCCTTAGGCTTCGCGTACCGGCTGGGGTCGCACCGAGGTTGCCGGGAGTCGGTGGTTCCGTCGGCTTCAGTGCCGGAAGAGCTGGTGAGTCGGAAGATGAGTCTAGTGTGGGTGAGCCAAGAAGGGCAACTGAGTGGGGGTGACCGGCGGATCTTTGCATCCTCGGGTGGGCTTTGTGCCGAGACAAGCACACGGGGCCCAGAGCTCATTGGGGTCCCGGGATCCTTGAGGCCCGGGAAGGGGGGGTGCGCGGCGTCTCTCATCTAGCGTTCCCTCCCTCAAACCTGCCCCCCGCCATCTAAGGATTCGGGCCTCCCGCGGGGGAGGCTTTCCTGTTCTCTCCTCTCTTGACGGCTCACTCCTGACACTTGATAAAAATTCTCTTTTGCACTGGCTTTAGCTTGCAGAGTGTCGGGACCCAGTGGCCATGCAGTTGAGGTGCACTTGCACCCCTCCCTTGCTAGCAATAGCACAAGTCTCAGCTGGTCCTCACCCCTCGTGGGTTTGGGGCACCCCTGTTCTGTGCTCCTCGTTTCTGACCTGGGCTTCAGAGACCTTTTCAGGACAAGTGTAATGTGGTGTAGGGGAAAGCTCAGTGCAGAGATTCTGAAGGTCTGCACTCCAAATTTTGCATTAGTTTGTATCCTAAGTTGTGTAGAAGTTCCCATCCTGCTCTGAAGTTCTAAGATTTGTGTTTGGCAGCCCATTCTCCAAGAGATGCACATCCAAAATGAATCAGCACCAGGGGAAGAAGAGGGAAGTGGTGATGCTGTGTGCTTTTTTGAGTACTGTCTGGTCTGGATGCCAGAGAATTAATTGTCCAGAGCTCTACATGTTTGGATCTCTGAGAACTACCAAAAGCTGGTGCAAAACAACAACAACAACAAAAATCTGTTCAGAGTAAATGTGCCCCAGGCATTCTGCTTTCCTCTGAGTTTGTTGATTTCATTTGAATAAACTTGGAGCACTGCAAAGCGTTTCAAAAAAAACTTGCTTGTATTTTCTGGGCTAAGATACTTATTTGAGCTTTCCTCTTTGAGATGAATCAGTCTCTGTATGGTGTTCTTTTCAAAATATAACCTGATTTTCAGAATTGTCTGTGATATTTGTAAAAGTGTAGATTATTTGACACTATTTCACCATTTCTGTTGAAACACTATGTCCAGTGAAATGAACCTAGGAATTTGTATTTTTAACAAGACTCCTAAGAGGTTCTGCTGATAAAGACAGCTTTGGAGCAAGGATCTTTCAGTCAACTTCTCTACCACTTAATAAACTTCATAACATTGGTAATAAACTCGGTTGTAGTTTCTGTATCTGAAAAGTGATCATTTCTACCTCAGAGACTGTTGAGTGATTCTAAACCTTCTAGTGCTTAAGTGCTTAATCATTTTTGTGTCTACAGAACCTAGCTTAGTGGTTGGCATTTGATAAACCCTCATGAATATGTTGAATTGAGGAACGAGATATAAAGATCAGAACACAGCATACACTTAGAAAGCTCCAATGTCATACCTCCTCTTTGACTTACAGTTTTTTTTTCCTTCTTTAATAATAATCAGCTACTGAATATTCTTATTGGAAGTAAGTATATTTTTTGATGGTCATAACAACCCGCAAATATTTCTGTTTCTTTGGCTTAACTTTTAAATTATTTCTAGTATGAGATCATTAATGAGTTTATATGGAGGCCAGGTCCATTTGTTGTACTAAATTTATAACTTACTATGTAAATTATTATCCATAAATGCTATGTATCTCCTGTTACTGTGCCAGGATTCTTGATCATGATGATTATAGGATTTTAATGGTTGTTCTGCCAGAATACTAAATCATTGTGTTCTTAAAGACATCTTTTTAAATTCCATATATTTGTTGTACTAATATATACTCATTTAAAGAACTTGACATATTACTGTATATAAAGAGTATGGGTACAGAATTCAGAATGGTTGATGTCATTATAAAAAAGGATTGGTGTGGGTGATGGATCCATTAAAATATAAAATAGGAATTAAATATAAGTAAATAAAGTTAAAACTGTAAGAATTAAAATGTGAGAATTGTGGTTCTAGAACATAATGTACATGTTATAAATCTTGACAATATAAAAATAATATATCTTAAATTAGAAGGTGTGATGAAGTGTAAGAATGTAATTTTCACATCTTTCATGGTAGTGGGTAGATCCATATTTTCCAAAATGGAATTATAGTTTTCAAATGACTCTGATTACTTAATATTTGCATAATATTTTTTCTTAGACTTTCAGAAACTTAAATTTCTTTTTGTAGAGAAAATTTTTCCCCATGATACCAGCAGTTACTTTAGTGCACTTTGTTTTTCTTCTGTTGAATCAAGAAGAATTAAACATTATGCTTATCTACTATGATACCAATGCTAAAAATTATTTGTGTGCCTTCTATGTACATGTGTACATTAAGTAGATATCTGGAATGTTGTATACCTAAGAATAATGAGAATTATTTAAGTGGTAGGATTTGGGTCAGTTTCTTTTCACTTCCTGTATCTTTTTATATTGATTGAATTTTTTTAAAGTACAGATGGCATTTTATATAAAAACATTATTTAACAGAATTTTGTTTTTAGTTCTAAATTTTAGTACCTAACTCAAATATTGCTGAGTAATTGTTACTGCTCAGGAATTGAGCACTTTTTTTTCTCTCAAGTTTTGTTTTATGTCCCTTTATGTAGTGTATCTGTAGAGACAGTGTAGTGCTATGTCTTACAGATAGTTTACCATGATATGAATTCTGGCTTTGTTGCTTAGTGATTGTTAACCGAGTATGACCACAGTCTAATTGTGAATCCCTCCACTCAGGTAAAATCTGGTGTTATAATTATTTCAGAAGAGTGTCACGAATACACACACACACACACACACACACACACACACACTTTAGTGATCCATCCTACTACCTGGGAACAGGGTCTACTCAAAAGAGAAAAGCTGTTGTTATTACTATTTTAAAAGTCCGGATTCTATTTGTATATGTGTATGTTTTTATTAAGTTAATGTATTTTTTTGAAGGGTTGAGTGTATTACACTTCTGTTTGTCTGTAAATTACCTAAAGTACTCTACAATGGAATTTTCTTAGATTTGAACTTTTTATCCTAGAAATTGTGCATCACCATGAGGCTCGTTATTCTTGATAACTACGACCTGGCTAGTGAATGGGCTGCCAAATATATCTGTAACCGTATCATTCAGTTTAAACCTGGACAAGACAGATATTTTACACTGGGTTTACCAACAGGTAATACACTTTTTTTTTTTCCATTTTCAATCCTCAAGTTTATGGAATTGAAGCGTTTCTTTTAATAAAGTAGTCTTCCTGTTATTTTTTACTGATAATGCATCACTGATAAAGTATGTTAGTATATACACATAGATCTAGTGTCTACATTTCATTACTGTTTTCTAGTTCTCCTACTGTTCCAAAATGCAAAAAGCAATATCCTGACTTGAAAGATGGCCATAGTGTGTTTTGTATCTACTTCTGGCACTTCTGTTTATTTGTAGGGATGTCACTTTTGCTATTCACATAATTTCTTAGTAATTTAGTCTTCCTGTTAATCATTAGAGGTACCCAAAATATATGCTGTTTTTGCTTTTTAATTTTATTTCACCCACCTTATATTATTGTATTAACCCTTTACTATTTTTATGTTTCTTTTGTTCTATTATTGAAGTATTGTAAGTGAAAAATGTGAAAACTAGTATATCTCCTTAACAGAATAAACACAAGCATTAATTTTTGGGGGGTGAGGTTAGAGAGTTCTTATTTTTTGGGGGGATGTGGTTAGAGAGTTCTTATTTTTTTAATTTTTTTGTTTTATATATATTTTTACATCATTTTTCATTTTTGTACAATGTGTGCCAAAATAGATGACTGGATCAAGAAGATGCGGTACATATACACCATGGAATATTACTCAGCAATCAAAAAAGATAAACTCATGCAATTTGCAGCAACATGGATGGAGTAGCTAAAAGACTGACTCTCATTTGAGATGACAGAATATATTAGTGGCTCATGTTAAAAAATAATGCCAAAAATTAATGTTCTTCACTCGATCCTTGCCAATTTCAAGAGTTTATCTGAAAGTAGGGGCACTAAATTAAGCTCTGGTTTCTCTTTTGATTTCATTAAATGGTCAACACTTACCCTATTTTTGTATTATTTATGCTATAAATCTCTAACTGGCAAAGATTTTTCTCAAAATCTAGAAGTTTCTAAACTTGAAATGTACAACATTAATTACAGGTATCCAACAACTCAGGAATAATTTTCCAAACTATGATTTTTATTGATAGATTTCTAGCTTTATTCATTAAATTCCCATTTACTAAAACGTCAAAGTACATTGTAAAGAGACTAATTTAGCAATATTTGTTAATTGAATATGTATTTAAATTAATAATTATTTAATAAATTAGAAATTTTGAATGTCTTATTTAAGAGAATAAAGTTAATGTAAGTTTATCTTTAAAAATAGATTTCAAGTTATATTAGAAAATGGAATCTTTATCTGTTTTAGGGAGTACACCTTTAGGATGTTATAAAAAGCTAATAGAATATCACAAGAATGGAGACCTTTCTTTTAAATATGTAAAGACCTTTAACATGGATGAATATGTAGGTAAGCCCTATTATTTGGATTTGTTATATGTTTTAAATAGAAGACTATATTTTGAGAATATTAATATACTATTTGAATTTATGAGTATATTTCTAGAGCATAATATATTGACTGCCTTGTGATGATGTTGGGAATTTATATCAAAAATATTTTTGTGGTAGCACAATATAGTGGAAAGAATATGAAAGAAATCAGAAGATCTGTATTTGTCTTGGGTTCGACCACTTACCACTTATGTAACTGAGCCAGTCTGTTCACATTTCTTGTTCTTTCTCTTTCCCCTAAATTAAAACCAGTGTTTTGATGATAAATTAAGAAATATGTATGCAAAATTAGTCAAATATAAGGCTGTTTATATTTGTAGCTGTCAAGTTATCATTGATTGGCAACTTTATTTAGTGGAAAGGTTTATGATACATATGAACTGTGTTAAAATTTAAATAGAGGAATACATTTTTAGTGGCAGCCTAAGTACCATTGTAGTTCATTATATTTTGCATGCATATGGGAAGAATAGAAGACATACATGAGCCAACATTTTAGTTGAATAGCTAATTAATTTATGTACAGCTTATCATTTCAGTAATACTGCCTAAAATTTTGTGTGTTTGAGATGTGGAGTGTAGTGCTTAAATACCCCTTGTGAGCTATGTGAATTTAGGAAAGTTACTTAACTTTTTTGTGCTTCTGTTCTTCTATAAAAGGGAATGATAATAACATTTCCATAGATGTTGTACAAATTGTCTTAATACATACACATACAGTGGTTAAATAATGTCTGGGTATATAAGCATATAATCCACATAAAAATTCTTTGAATATGGTATAAAAAGGTTGTATATTTTAAGTAGCATTTGTGGCTTAATCAGAAAAGTAAAATATAGATTTATTTCTGGAAATAGTTACATTTTTATTAACATTATATTTAGGTCTTCCCAGAAACCATCCTGAGAGCTACCATTCTTACATGTGGAATAACTTTTTTAAGCATATTGATATAGATCCTAATAATGCTCATATCCTTGATGGGAATGCTACAGATTTACAAGCAGAATGTGATGAATTTGAAAAGAAAATAAAAGAAGCTGGAGGAATTGATCTTTTTGTTGGAGGTATGTAAAATTTTTGTCACTGTTAATATTTGAATTAGGAGCTTCAAATTTAAAAGAAATTATCATTTTATAATGTAAAGAATACCTGTGACTCCGTAATACCCATTTATTCAGTTAATAATTTCTCTTTTGCTTTATTTCATAAAAAAATAAGATCACAGGTTTTTGGCTTTTTTTTCAAATTATGTCTGAGAAATAGATCCCAATCCCTGCTAAATTCTTCTAAATACCTCTCTAGAATTGACAGCTTACTACGTATTATAAAAACAGTGATATATGTGTTTTTGTAAGTGTTATTCTTACCCTTTTATTATTTCATTAAAACTCCAGCACAGCTTTCTTTTCAAATTACAGGGTTAAATTTCTGCGGGTTTGTATGTGGACAGATGGACTTTAGTATATCTCTACTGATGACTTAAATTGCTTTATCTCCTTAGGAAATGTATTGAGAATGATACAAGATGCCATTAGCCTTGTATTAATATGAATTTTAAACTATATATTGTCTTAAACTCCAAAGTGAATAAATGTTTGTTAAATTCCACATTAAGTTTATATATATCCATATATAATTATGTATATCCTTGACTCTGTGTGTGTATAATCTACCATTGAATATATAAGGGGGACGTTTATAATAACAGTTTTATTAGCATGAAACATCTGAGACAGCTAATTCATACTATCTGAATAGAATAACACCAACTAAACTGAAATCAAAATAGTTTTGCCAGATACTTTAGTATTCAACTAAACATACTAAACCTGTAAATTCACATTAAGTTCTCTTATAGTTAGAAGACTGCTCAGACTTACATGATTTAGATCTTTAGTAGAGCTATACTGAGGCTAATGTATGTTTGAGGTGACCAAGTATGGTTAAACTAGTTGGTTGCCATTGGGGGAAATTGTGTTTTATAGTCAAACATTAATTCATATTCTATTTTGGCCACTTTCTCTATGACCTTGGAATTTCAGTATAATTAAGTCATTTTTAAAATGGTTAATATTACCCATTTCAAATTTTTGAGAATTAACTGTATTACAGCTTTTATAAATATTTTGTACAGTGGTTGCCATGTAGATGGCACTCTATTAGTGGTACTTTAGTCTTCTCTTTGTCTCTGAACTGTAGATCCTGGAATAATTGTTCTTTAATTCATTGAATTTCCTGTGTTTTTTTTTCTGAATTAATTCTGAGGGTGTCCAGCAAGATTGAGATATCTCTTTGAGCAAATTTTATCTCTTCCCTAGAAGAACCAATATCATTATCTTGAAGATGTGAGGTTTATTTTTCTTGGAAAGAATACAAGTTAGATTACTTTGCTTTTCAAAATAAAGTATTCTATAGTTCAGATAAAATTTACTAATACTACTTTTTTATATCTTGTAAACACTTGCACTCCAGTTTTGGCTGTATGACTCAATTCTGAAATAATTACCATTTCTACCTACCAATGTCAAGGCTAAGGTAATAGATATTAGAGAACTTTTAAGGCATGCACTACCCATGTATTTTTCAGATTTTCAAAATCAAGTAGAATTACTGAAATGTATTATTATATACCTTAACTGTTTATCTTAGTTTTATCAAGAAGTATTTTGCCTGCTTTACCATTACACAAATAAAACATGGTAGTTATGAGAGGCTTATGATTTAAAATGGTTGCATAAATAATACCTCTTTTAACTTACTAATTTGAGGACTTTTTTCCTATTTATTTATCTTATATCAGGATTCATGTCACAAATACCTTGGTGATTCAATACAGAAAATAGAATTGACAGGGGGAAATTGATAAGACCTCTTTAACTACACTTTGCCCTTTTGCCTATTTTCCAGAAAGCATTTATAGTTTACTGTGATTTCTAATGCTATAACTTCCTTATCTAGAAATCCTAGTAGAACTTTCTTCATTTCACACAGTTTTAAATCAATTTTTCATTTTTAGCAAAAGATTTTTGGTACATTTCTTCACTATACTCTGCCACTCAGTTCTCCCATTGAAACGAATGGAACATAAGTATAACTATGTTTATTATGCACTTACTATCAAAAGAATTTTACTTTGTTTTCTAACCAATTTTGTCTTAAGCTTCTTGTAATTTGTTCTGCCCTTCTTGTGATTGTTCTATTCTCACGCATGTGCGCGCGCACACACACACACAAAATGTGAGTATTTCCTTGCCTCTTACATTAACATCTTCATTATCTTCACATGATAACTCAGGGTCTGACATATTTATCATCCAAAGGACATGATAACCTTTTCTATAGGGAGAAAGGGCTATTAGCTTATTGCATTTTCTTTGAACTTTTTCCTATTTGGGATATCTTGTTATTGGATGTGTTCTCACAGGAGAATCTTACTTGACTCTGGTTTGTTGATCTAGGTTTGTTATCATTGGATTTTCAAGATGAGGCTTGGTGTCTGGGTCTTACTACTTACCCTTCTTTTGTTCCAGGGTTTGGTTAATAAAAACACTAAGAACTGAGCCAAATGGGATCAAAATATCAGCTTTATTAAAGGTAAAGTTGAATTAGAGATTGCAGATTGGGTTTGAGGCCAGAATGGAATTTCCTGTTCATCCCCACTAAATTGGAAATAGTAGGAAGTGAAGACCTCAAAAATATTAATCCACCATTGTTCACTACTGGCAAATGGAGCAGGAGTTCCCTCCCGTCAGTAGAAAAGAGAAAGTAGGAAATATATACTCTTAAAAGTTCTCATTTTTCCTCTAGTAGCAGAAGTATTGAGAGAAAGAATAAAGAGTATCATGCAATCCCTGACCCACCTCCAGCAATAAATACACAAACATGGGATTTTATAATTGGACTGTAAAGGCATTATTCACTTTAAAATGATTTTAAGACTTTTTTAAAAGCAGAAATAAGACAATTGTAAAAACGTTAACCTTATCCTTTGGTAACATGATTAGAGTCTTTGGTTTGTAAGTAACAATAATCTAATAGTAGTATCAGAAGTGAATTAATTTGTATGATTCTGGGGTAACTCACAAAATTTACAGAAGCTTTAAAACAACCAAATCTCTGGTAGCACAAGAACATAGAGGAACTCACATCTCCAAATTAGGAACTCATCAACTCTCCTACAAAGTATCAATAAATGCCTCAGCCCTACGTGATCGATTTTTCTGTATCTGTGGTCTATAAAAAGTACATAAATTTTTAAAAAAGTGAAAAATGTTCTGTCTTCTGGAACAACACTCATCAACTTCAACAAACTTGCCAATCAGAAATGAAAGTTCTGTGTTGCAAACAAAAGAAAAGGAAAGAACTTACATAAATTCTTCAGTTTAGGATACATATTTATCCTAGACCACAATTACTCTGCCTCAGAGAGATAAGGAGTTTTATGAGTGTTCTGTCCTCTGTTGTAAAGGGAGGCAGAGCAGGATAAAAGGAGAAACTACACTGAACATACCAAAGAACAGCAACCACCTGTTTATTCACCCGTTATTTATTGAGGTCTTTTATGTGTCATTTAAATAAGAATAGAGTAATGAAGAAGACAGAATCTTCACTCTCATGAAGTTCATATTCTACCCACAGAATTTTAGGAACACAGGAAAGACAAATAATACAAACTTATATTTTTAGAGACGAGTCATAAAAGTCCTGAGTCCTTACTTTAAAGGCTGAATAAAAATTGGCCATGATTTTTACATTTCCTGGTTATTTTAAGACTGTTTTGTAAACCTTTTTGAAACATTCTGAACATTTAAAAAACATTCATCAGAAAGCTCAATTTTAGATAGTTACTTGTGGTCAATAAGGGAACGTATTGACTCTTCTCTGACATGAATCATTGCTGGTAATTTCAGCTTGCTTATGCACTTTATATTTCCCAAACCACCAGTGAAACCACTAGTGAGATGACCAGTGTTGATCTTTTTACTTTTTTCTTCTTCTGGAACTTGTATTTTTCTGGTTCTGTCATTTCCTCTTTGTACATACATAAAGAGATAAACATAAAATTTTTGACAGAGTATACTTACAACAGGAAGCAGAAGAGTTTACAAATCTTGAGAGAGATATATATCTATACTTTAAGATATACATTTATAAGCAGATTCATACTTAATAGTGCAAATGGTCCTGGCGTATGAACCATATGTAGGTCTGATTTTATGTGTCCACATTAAAAATGTCTAGATTGTTATGCTTTGGTAGTTTATACTACTTCCTGAGAAACTCTGCATATTTTACCTTGCTGTAGCCTGGGAAAATTTTTGTTAGAACTGCATGTTAAGTAAAATATACATATTTTATCATTAAATATGCTGAATATAAATGTAACAAATATTTTAAGATTATTTTAGCTGTGCTTGTCAGAATCTGACCATCTAGGAGGGTACATGTATATAAAATGTGATTTATTTATCTCATAGAAAGATTTTTCATTTTATAAAAAAGATATAGCTGCACTTTGCTTCACTAAGGGATGTCACACTTTTATCTGTATTTCACAGGTAATCCTAGAGTGACAGAGCTGACAGTAGGTCTTCTTAAAGCATTGTTTTCAAATTGTAGCTGTCACCCATGAAATCATGAAATAAATATATTCTGTCATATCTAGCATTTCCTTTTGTATGTTCTGTTAGTGAAATGGAGTATAATTGAAAGTAACCTGCATGTTCCTAGTAAGGATAAATATTGCTATATGTAGTTCTTTTATTGTATTTATTTGTGGATATGTATACTAAATTGCATTGCCAAAACCTGCTTATTACAAGTTGTAGTTTAAAAAAAGTTTGAAGAAAACACTCCCATATTTTTTCTAATCTATACATTTTTTTGTAAGTGAGAAAACTTGCAAAAGATGGGTCCACTAGTTAACTAACCTATCTAGACTAACCAGCTAGACTAACCTATCTAGACTAGAATCAAGCAAGTTAAAGTGTATGAGTATAAAGACCACTGGGTTAGAAATCAAAAGATTTAGAAATCTTGACTCAGTATTTACTAAATTATTTAGACAAATCACATTATCCTTGAATATCAAGTTTCCTTTTAAACTTTAAAAAAAGTGGGGTTGATGAAAACAGATATGCCTGGTGTATCTTAGGAGATTGTTAAATTATCACCATTGACAAGATACTTACGAAGATAGTTTATATATGGCAAAATTTTACTGCTGTTAGAATCATGTGCTTAGCTCAATGCTAAACATATAGGAAACATTGAAATACTTGCTGAATCAAGTACAGGAACAAATACTTTATAAATTCACTGATCAAATAAAACAAGGTAAGTGTTTTGTCACCCATTCCTCATGTTAAACTCTGAGAAACCTTATTTCTTGATTTCTTTTATGTGAAAAACTGTATTTATATTATGTTTATGTGTGTGTGTGTGTGTGTGTGTGTATTTCTTTTGAAAGGAATTGGTCCAGATGGTCATATTGCTTTCAATGAGCCAGGATCCAGTTTAGTATCAAGGACAAGATTAAAGACTCTGGCAATGGACACCATTTTGGCAAACGCTAAATATTTTGACGGTGACTTATCGAAAGTGCCAACTATGGCTCTAACAGTTGGTGTGGGGACTGTGATGGATGCCAGAGAAGTAAGAATGACATATTCTTTGAGGTTTTCTCTTCAATGTCTGTAGATTTTGTAAGAATTATTGGCACTGAATAAGTGATGTTTTGGTAGCACTGTACTCAAAATAATAGCTTGCTTTTTGCCAGTCCCATGATGTGTTTAGGGCTCAATTACATTAAATCTTTTAGATCTGTGAACTCAGAATTAGGCACCTTTTGAATTACAGCTTCACTTACCTATTCCTGCTTCCTAAAATCATGATACTCAGATAATCTGTTTTTAGGTGAAATAGTCTTGTTAAAGTCTGTTGGTACAAGATGCAATGCCAGTTAACACTGAACTGTATTAGGAGCCTCCGAATAATTTAAAGTACAACTTGACCATGAAAGGATAGCTCAGTTGTTTTTTACAAGAAATGGAACCCATGGAGCACTATATCTGTTATAAAATTGGTCTACTTAACAAGGCAAGAATTCTGAACAGCAGACCTTGCCTAATCATTGAATTTTGAATTAGGCTGTCACTTCCTTCCCTAAAAATAAAAAAGCAAAATATAGTCAGTTTGTGATTCTAAGTGCTTAAATTATATGGAAACCTGTGGAATTCCATTCCATTCTGGCAGCAGGATCAGACAAGTTCAGAGGAAAGAATACAAACAAGGTAAGGTAAGTAATAGATCTTGACATATCTAGACTTGAACATACAAATAGAACTGTCATTCTATATGTAGAATTTTTTAATCTAAAAACCACAAATACATCAAAAAGACCTTTCAAGGACTGAAATTTCAGAGTAAATAGGCAAAAAAAAAAAAAAACATTTTAGAGCAATCTGATTTCTAAAATAGTAAACTGAAAGTTATACAAATAGATTTATCACATTTATAAGATTTGTTACAATGTAACAAGACTAATTCTTATAAAGAACTATTCAGATAGATTGTTTTTGGTCAAGTTTTCAAAAAAAAATATGATAACATTAACCTCACAGCATTTATTCCCAACATAATTATAAAGAAAATCATTATGGCAAAACTATTCTAGAGTTTTATTGTGTTAACAATTATAGGCATTATGGTATATTCAATAATACCCCATTTTACTTTGTTAACCATAAAAAGGGATACACTTTGTATATATTCTTAAGAAACTAGAAATAAATATCAAACTGAAGAAGTACAGTGATATTTATTTTTATTTTCCCCTCCAGACATTATTGGTGTGGTGCTAAAGTCCTTGTTTTTTTTTTTAAAGTGTTTAGTCAGTTGGAGCATGTTTTAATTATTAACAGATTATGTTCATGATATTTCAGGTAATGATCCTCATTACAGGAGCACACAAAGCATTTGCTCTGTACAAAGCAATAGAAGAAGGAGTCAATCACATGTGGACTGTTTCAGCCTTCCAACAGCATCCCCGAACTATTTTTGTGTGTGATGAAGATGCTACTTTAGAATTAAGAGTTAAAACTGTGAAATACTTTAAAGGTGAGCATTGAAATTTCACAGCAGACTATGAGAATATTTCATTGTAAATGATAATTAAAACTTACTATAACTGTGAAGTAACCTCCTACACTGTGGCCTATTGAAAAACTGGCATTCTGCTCACGTTAGCCAGTTCTTTCAAGGAATAGAAATGTCCCACCTCTGTAGCTTTTCAGAGTAAGTTCCTAATTTTTTTTTTTCATGAAGAGAATCTCTTTAGTATTTTCAGTAAAGAATCTCTTTTAGATTTTCTTGAAATCTAAAATTTAGTATTTTACTTTCATATTGAAAATATAAGATTAAATAACCCAATAGGAAATATATATTTATGTTCTTTCTGATGTTCTTTTCATTATTTACCTGTCCTAGTCCACTCCCCAATTTATGTTTAGGGTTTCCTTCAATGTCACTTTAATCATCATAATTTGAAACAAATTTTCATATATTAAATTTATTATTGCTAAAGATGAAATAGTATGGGATAAACTCTGCAACTAAGCAGGAGCTTAATTGCCCAGGCTTCTACATTTGTATTTTCCTTTGCTTCTTCCTCTGGTCTAGTTCAATAATTCTTAAACTTTGCTGTCCCAGATGAGGGTGTATATATAAAACCACATATGCTTGCTTGGAAATTTTCAAGAAAAGTCTTGACTATACTCAATCTAGAATCCATTCCCCACATAAGAGTCAACTCCACATATATATACACACATAAGCTGTATGAGTAGGTACTATTTATAAACACCTTTATTTATATAGCTGATATCAAAACATTCTTTAATGGTCATATACATATAGATCAGGAATTCAAGATATATAGTATATCTTCTGATATTACAGGAATGAATTTATTTTTAATCTTTTACTTTAGTGACTAGGTGTTTATTTGACACGTTAGAAAAATATACTGAACCAAACAAACTTATATTTTATGTGTATCATTATCACAAGATGAAAGAAGTTAACGTTTTTTTACCTCTAAGACACATTTTTTTTTTAGATTAATCTTGTCTGAAACTGTGATTTGTTTAAAATTGATACAGCTTTTTCTTAGTGGTACATAAAATAACAATGTGTCTTATAGTCTGTTGCTTCTTACCTTCATGAAATACAGTATTTAAATGTAAAGCTTATATGTCAATTTAGAATGAATAAGTCATAATTTTGCAAATACAAGTATGGCAAAAATCTTGAATATGATATACAAGTGATTGAAATTTGGCACAGTGGAAATAGTTAATTTTAAAAACAAAATTTTGATTAATGTATAGTTTTATATTTGCACTTATCTATTATGAGCATTTTCCTGCTTTACAAACATTCTTCAAAAGCATTTTTATGGTTGTATAATAGCCAAGTAGAAATATTATAATTTCCTTAGACATGTCATTATTGTTAAAAACTTAGATTATTTCCAGTCATTTATATTTCTATCAGTGAAATTACCAGGATTACCTTTAACCAAGTCATAATATATCAAACTGAAAAATTGTTAGCTTCTTAATTTGACAGCTAAAAGCAGGGAAAATCTCAGATGTGAGGTTGTAAGACAAAGCTTTTGGAAACATGTAGTCTTTTAGATTTCATACTAGATCCATTAAAAAAGAAAAAATTCTACCACTTACTTTAATGCCAGTTTTAAGGAGTTTCATTTAACATAGCAATTTTCTAGTTCCAGGAAGCCTCAGATAAACCCTTGTACACATTTGTCAATTGGATTTTATCGAATTTTTTTTACATTTTAGTGAAGTATAACAGTTAATAGCCAATACTTACGATTATGTGCTATTCAAAACTCATTATACATATTGATTTACCTGTCACAATTCTGTGATGTAAGTACTATTATAATCCTTTTTATATATAAGTTGACAGTTTTAATAGAGATTTTCAAGTCACTTACCTGATGTCATACAGCTGGCTTATCAAAGCCAGGCTTATCTAGAGTATGGGCTTTTTCTTGTTCATTCTTGATACTACCTCTCAGGAGTAAGCTCTGGCTATGATGTGATACCAGTCATATTTCTGTTGTTTCTTCACAAAATCATTGTATTCAAAAGTCACTGACATATATTAAAGACAGTTTAAACCAAGGGAAGTATATGATAATATGTATTTAGTTCTTTTCATCTATCCAGACTCTCAACTCTTCTTAAACATTTTGCAGTATAGACTTTTCATGAGAGAATTGCTGTTTTCTCTTAGGGAACACTGTATTTTCTATTTAGTAGGTGTATATATTTTTGAAGAGGTGCAGGATATTAGCCTCTGTCAATATGCCCCTCCTTCAACATGGAAAAAAATGTAATTGAGTATTGTTCTAGTCTATATAGAGACCATTTTACCTGTATTTTGATATAGGGTAGAAATAAATATTTGTTAATTTATACATAATAAATCTTTTTATATGTTTGCCATCTTCATTTCAAAATGGAGGGTATGGATCCTCTAATTATCATCAGTAATTGCTCAAATTACATTCACAAAAGTTCCCTTATGTTATCACTAAGAAGTGACAACCAGAATCTTAAGAGGTCTAATTATTTAGATTCCAAAGAAAACCTAGGCAGTGTACTCCAAAACAATAAGTCAATGAAAGTTTATTTCAAAATATACCTTTGAAAGACATAATTACAGGAAAATATAGTTTATTATTATTCTAGTTTTTGATTTTGCTTAAATAAAACATGTTTTATGCCCTTGAGAAAACACATTTTCAGTAAATCATCATCTTGGTAAACATATTTTTGTTTCATCCTTTTAAGGCCCTATCCCAGTAGCTTGACATAGGTTAAATGAGTTCAGATTGAGTCAGAACCATCAATACACATTTATAATCCACTGTGCTTAACTTTTCTTCTTCTGGCAACATATCAGTACTGTGTGCATTTTTATCAGTACTCTTAAGAATTTACTTATTTCTGCTGATGATTTAAGCAATATTTGTATTTATCAAGTTCTTTCATAAGAAGTTGCCAATTTTTACAACTTAGAATCTAATAAAGTCTTGAATTGTTCAAAAAAACTATAGAATTTTCAAAGTAACTTCTAGTTTGGAAGTAGTTTTATGTGTAAAAGCTAGTAACCACTGTTTGATTTTTAAAAAACTTTATGAAGTTGAATTTTTGTATTGTTTATCCTAGTACTTTCTTTAATTCTAATGTATTCTTTCCATGATCAAAGGTGTTACAAAATGACACATAATTGTATCAAGTAGAATGAGCCACTAAAATCTGACTTTGGCACTATATTTTCTAAACCACATGGCTGAAATTACCTTTATCTTCAGTGTTCTCCTTGTTGGATCTTTCCAGTCTTCGTTTTACTGCCCTTCACATACTGGTTATTAAAAATGGATTTTTGAATTAAATTCTGTTTTATGTAAGATTGATTCTGTTTGGAAAGATCCTCAGGTAAATCTTTAGCAAGTATTTCTTTTGCACCATTAAAACTTGCTTACACTTCAATATGGCATTTGATAAATGGAAATTTTCCAGTTAGTGTCTTCAGTCAAGAAATATGTTTTTTAAGTGCCTTTAATCACAGTGTTTCACATTGGTGTGAGTCAAAAGAAGTGTAAGAAGTATTCCTGTCTCATAGATATATTCTTCATAAAAAGTTGGTTGTTATCACTAAGTGATTTGAGAAAATATAATGTTTAGCATTAAAATAAAAAGTTCTCAAAGGTAGGGACTTTAGTTTTGTTCACTGCATTATTTTAGCATTGAGAGGTGTGCTTGGTACATTGGTGGTACTTGACAAATTATGGGTGGATGGGTAGGTAGGTGGAATAGCGGATCACTTCAGTTTAAGTGTTAAATTATATAAATCAGACTATGAAGTCCAAAGACTATTAAATAATGGAAAGATAATAATTGAAGTTTAGTTGAGAAAACTTTATGCTGATAGGATTGAGAACCCTGAATGGTGGGTGGTAGTAGCAGAAAGAGTTCTTGTTAATACAGTAAATTGCATTGATAAAATGGGGCTAAATTCTTATCTTTTGAAAATACATTCCCTTTTGAAAAGGGAATCTATAGATTAAGAACAAAAAGAGAAACCAAGTTTGTCACTGACTTTTTTTTTTTTTTAATGTCAGTGACTTTTCACCTTTTGTGGGTCATGGATCACTTTAAGAATCCAGCAAAAAAAGCCTCTCAGAAAAAGTGGATGTGCATATATGTGTTTGCCTACACAAACACACATATTTGTGCATATATATAAATTTGTATATTAAATTGGGGACTTTAAAGTTTTATAGTTATATCAAATCCTTAGGCTCCAGGTTGAGTAAATGCTGCATTGGATTTCTAATAACTATACAGCTTCTAATTGACACCACTCTTAAGTCAGAGATGGTTTCGGTACAACTTGCTCTCCTTTTTTTTACAGCATTCTAAGTCTTATGTTTAAATACAGGTTACTGTTTAACTTTTTTAATCATGGTGATATTGTGGGTATTAACCCTTGAAAATCCTAATTTTAGAATTAGGCCAAAGGCAAATGGGCTAGTGTACTTTTAGACGAGGCTCCAGGAAGGCTCTGGAATGCGTCTGTCAGAACCCTTGCCTTTGAACATCTAAGATCTTATTTTTTCCCCTTTGAGGGTGTAAAGTTAACTGCAGCACCAAATGGGTGTATGGGGTAGGAGTCTTTGTTAGCCGAGAAAAACATTCTTACAAAATGACTTTTTTTCTGAGGAAGAACAAATGCTAACATGTTGGTACGTTTCACATCTGTCCTGAGAGACAGCTTTGCATAAAAATGTATGAAATACTCAGGTTTACCCATATATTCATGGATTTTATAAGCTTTTTGTCTTCAAAGCACTGGTAAGCATGTATGGAGGGGGTTATATATATTAATAATTTTATAGGAACTATCATTATAGAATCATTCAAGTATTAGAGATTACATCATCCAAACCATATATTAGATACTGTTATAAAACTGAAAACTGCTATACAATATGTTGAGACACTGCTTTCTGTTTTGAGTTTTTGAGCTGAGATTACTCCATTATATAAATAAAGTCAAATAGCAGTCAAGTGGCTGCCAGTTACCTAACACAGAGGCAGACCTAATCAAGTGCCTTTATCCTTAGTTTGATACTTTTTATACCAAAATCATTGTATTTCCTGGGTTGTTGCTCCAAGGTTTGCTGTTTGCAAACTTCACACTACTCAGTTTATCCTTTTGACTCTTCTTTCCCTCCAACTGCATGGAAGGCTTAAAATTTCTCCCTCCAAAATCCTATGTCCATGACTTTAAAGTCAACCTAATTCTCAAGTATACTTTTATTTTCTGTTCTAGCCATTTTTTAAAAAAAAAGATTTATTTATTTATCTATTTATACAAGCACTGGGCACAGTCAGAAGCGCGGGAGGGTGAGCGAACCCACCAGAGCCAGAGCGGGTTACAGAACAGGCAGACCGACGAAACACACCGCTGAGGGGAGCAGCGGGCTGCAGGAGAGGTCTGCGCGCCATATGGGACTCTTGCCCGGCGAGCGGGGATCGAACCGGCGCTGCAGAGGCTGTGAGCAGCCTCGCAACCCAGTGCTCAACCGCCACGCCACCGAGGAGGCCCTGCTCTAGCCATTTTTGCCTGCTCTTAATTCTTTTGTCTAAGGACCTTGAACTACAGAATCTTGCTTTCCTGTCTCTTCACCCTTTTTTTAATCCTGCCTCTTTTTAATCACTATGTTCAAGATACATTTTTAAAAAGAAAAAGCTTCTGGAGCCACTGTCTGAACCTTCAGACTTCCCAAATGTTTACTGAGCTCTCACAATGAGCCTTTACAGAAACAGGACTTGAACAGAGAGTGTAAGGCCCTGTACCTCACTTTCTAGTTGGATACATGGTAGAAAAGCATTTTCTAATAATGAAAATTGCTGAAAAGAAAGTGAAATAGTAATTTATTTTAAGGTGACATTTGGACTGAGACCTAATAAGCAAAAAAGAAAGAGTCATGCTTTGCCCAGGGAAAAGAGCATTCCAGGCCGAATGAAACATTAAGTATGAAGACCCTACACTGGAGCCAACTAGCCTTTTTGAGGTAAAAGCAACAACCCCAGCATGGAGTACACAGAGGCAGAGAATGACAGGATATAATAGCATAACTATAAATGAAAACATTAGCATAAAATCCAAATTATTGTAAGTGACCAGAAGCAACTGGAGGATTTAAGTAGGGAAATGACATAATCAGTTTTAGGTTTTAAAAATAATAGGTTGCCTGTATACCAAATTGTTTTATAGAATGGGTAAATAAAGTAGGGTGCTTATCTGGCAGTAGCCAGATTAGAAATAAAAGTGGCTTGGACTAGGGTGGTTATCCATGAAGAAAAATCAAGTGTGAGTTTTAGTTTTTTGGCTTTCACAATTGATTGAAGCATAACACAATATACCAGGATTAACAAAGAAATGGTTTGGAAGGGAAAAGTGGATCTGAACTTGCTAAGTTTGAAGTGCCAATTAGACACCAGGGGTAGGCTATTGCAGTTTGCATTCTCTCGCTTTCAGTTGAACCAATGTATGTTTCTCTTCCTTCAAGACTTATAGTTTTTGGCCTACCATATGAACATTTCTCAGTGTTCTTTGTACAGTCCATCCCTTGCTCATTTCTAAAAATTGGTCCCACTTTCTTCAGTTTGGATTTTAGAGTGCTTTTTGCTGCCTTCTGGAAAAACATCCACTTTGCACACAAGTACCATTCTCTCATTCCAATAATTCCATTACCTGAGACCACCATACTGAGTTTCTTTCCACAGTTCCTTACCATATTTTAATCTGAAAAATTTAACTGATTTCTTTATCCAGATTATTAGTTGGGATATTTTATCCCCCACTCCCCAAAATACAGTGTATATGTATTGACTTATAAGTAACTAGAAGACAATTTTGTTCTCAAGCTTTAATATACAGCGTTCAAGCATACCAATTATAAAACTTAAATTTACTTGGAAATATTTAATATAGGCTGAATTATTTTAGTAAACCACCTTCAGTACGGCCTATAAGCAACCTCTGTTGTAAATATATAGGTCAAAATAGTGGAAAATAATTTGCCAGATGAATGGAAAAAGGTAACTTTGAAGAACTATAGGTCATACTAGTGTAACAGCAGTTTAGACCCTTGCTAAAATCTGGCGAAAGAACTGCCTGAGAATCAAAAATCAACATAAGATTTTTAGATTTAATTGAATAGAATAACCAAGTCAATACTCAAATTTGTTATTGTCATACTGAAGCACCTACTCCAACTTCTGGCTGCCCCCAAAGAACCTATATACACATATTCTAGATCTGTATTTTCATAAATACCAGTAAATTGTATCTACTAGGTAGATAAAACATTCCAAAATATTCTGAACCTTTTTTAAGTAAACTATATCAAATGGGAAGCATTATACTTATAAAATCTTTTGTTTTCTAAAATAAATAACTCAAGATTAATACAATCAGAACTGTGCTTTTTTTTTTTTAAGGTTTAATGCATGTGCACAATAAACTTGTGGATCCACTACACAGTATGAAAGAAGGAAACTGAAGGAGATTGACGCCAAATTCTGCTTGAATGAACAGGACACTTTCATTAGATGAATTCTCAGCTATGCAATATGATAAAATGGGATTTTTTAAGATTGTCATATTGAAGTCCAGTACCTATGTGTTAAACATTCCATATTTAGAATGTCCATTTTATACTATGGTTTAGAAGTAGTAATTAGCTCTCCATTGATTAGTTTATTATCATGATGAAGTACTGACGCCTGGGCCACCCTTTGCAACAGCACAGAGATGAAATATCCGCCTATTTAAAAATTTTAAGTCATTTTAAAGGTAACAGTTTTGTACAAGTACCATTAATTATTTCCATGGCATTCTTAGATTTTTATTTTTTAATCACATGAAGTCACTCCCTGAGCCTTTCAGGTATCAAACAACTATCATAGCAAGTCTTTACTTTGGGACATTATGCTTTATATTACACACAGCTTTCTGCACGTGGTTGCCTTAGTTTATTGTCCTGTAGTAGCATTTGGACATCAAATGTCCTGCTTCATATCATTGGTACAGAAAACTAGGAGTTGACAGTGCCTAAAAGTACAGTTTACGTCTTTTTGGAAAGTATGTATAAGTGCATGTTTTTGGTGCACCTTCTTCTACAGCACTTTTTTACAAATGTGCTTATTTTTATTTAATGACTTGGGTTCCTGCTCTTAATATAAATATTTTGGCAATTATGAGCTTTATACCTAGCAACATACTTAAGAAAATTCTTTTGAAGAAAATTTTCCAATTGTTAAATTTCATAATGATTAGATTTATTCCCTATATATAAATGTGTCTAAAAGGATAAAATGATTTAGTTTATATAAAATTCCTGTAAACTATTTTAAATTGCTATAACTTGCATCATTAAATTGCAAATACGTTTATTGCTTATCTTTAACTCAAATAAAGCTTATGAATAAACAAATGTTATCTAAAATTTATTTCCAGAAAAGAACATATGCATCCAAGAGATTCCACCCAACAATTAGTAGCTGAGCCTTCTTTTTGTCTGTTGCAATCATACAATTAGTTTCTAGCTAAAAGATTTTTTCTGCCTAGAATTCCTTAGTCATGCTCCATGAGGAGTGAAAAATATTCCCTTTTCTTCTGCATATTTGGCATTTTATAAACCTACCTGACCTGAGTTGTGACAACCTCAAATGTTTGATAAATAATATAATCTCAATTTTACTACGAGAGTAGACAGGGTAAGTAAATTTTGCCAGAATCACCTTGTTAAGTGGTAGAACAAAAATTTGAAACCAGGCAATATGGCTTTAGAATTCAAGCTCTTTGGCCTCCCTCATGGCTCAGGGGTTAAAGTCTCAGTGCTGTCAAGCTATCACCAGCCACTGAAGCATGAGTTCAATACAGGTCAGGGAGCTAACCCACATGGCCCAGCAGGCCTCTCCTGCCTCACTGGCTGCTCCCCTCAGCAGTGAATTTCAGTACATCTGCCGTTTCTGCTCCCCACTCTCTCTGGTGAATCTTCTCATCCCCCACACCTCTGGCCTACATCCCAGTTCTTGTACTAATAAATAAATAAATATTTAAAAAGAAAATGGAATTCAAGCTCTTACCCACCTATTACGCCCTTCAAAGGTAAACAGGTTATTTATACCTGAAATCTCTGGAAGTACCAAGCAAATGCTGTAATTTTTATTCCTTTGTCAACATAATATAAACTGCTAAAATAAAAAAGCAAAACAATTTTTAATTGATAGCAATTTCTTCTATTTTCCCAACAATTATTTATCAGATTGTGTTTTTAGAACTTTTATAAAGGCATCTTTTGGAACTTCAACATTGCCAACTTTCCTCAATTTTTTCTTTCCTTCTGCTTGTCTCTTCAAAAGTTTCATTTTTCGAGTAATATCACCACCATACTGAAAAATATTTTAAAAGTTGGAAATTCAAATCACTCCATAGAAAAATCATGTAATTACAAAGACACAATATAGTTACAACCATCTTGTAATTACCCATAAGAAAGACATCTACAAAGTTCTCTGTCTAATCCCCTTTCAAACAGATCCTAATTTTCCTTAAAGAATGGTAAAGGTCTTTATTTTTGAATGGAGATGATGATCCCTAAGGATACTCTGTATACTACATTATGCATGTCAGGAGTAATTCTCAATCTTCTTCCTAATACAATGGTTGAAATTTTGGAATATATAGCTATAATCGAATACAGACAGTCACATGTGCATAAATGTGCCTCTCTGCTAAGGATTTAGAGAAAATATTTAATTTTCATAGTAACTGAGTTAAGAATTATTTTTCTAAATAGATAAGGAAGCTCATCAAAGCAATGCAGGAGAGGTGAATTTCCCATGCTTCCCACTGCAATACAGGTAACCATTGTCTTCAAAATCTTATAAAAAATTAAGTTTTCCCCATCATAATTGTTGTAAAATACTTTCTTAGTACTATTATGAAAATTTTTATAAATGAGATAATACTTAGGAATGTGATCAAAATATGAAATTTACAGCAAACAAATGAAATAAAGGGTATTATAAAAACCAACAAGGAAATTCAATATATGTACATATGCCCTTTGCCTTAAAAACATAAAATATATTATTATAAGATAGAATACAGTAGATACATACACATTTTGCCAAAACATTTTTCCTATAGGCTTTCACACTGCAAAAGAGGAAAAATTATGTAAGTAGATTCATACTATTTAAAAGGAAATTTGTAAGACAATCTGCCCTTTACTAAAGATTCTAATGTTTGTGTTATACCTGCATAAAATAATTAAATAGCCATAAGCAAATAATTAGGTAGCTGAAATGTTCTTGTTTTTATTTTCATATAATGGGGATAATACAGAAAATAAATTCAATATGAAAGCAACATAAATTTTATTTAGGAAAAAAGTGAAGGCTTATAGGTGGTAGGCCAAATACAGGCACGGTGGTGTGTGTGACCTTGATTATAATAATTATATAAAGTCATCTTTGGCTCACCTGAAAATACTACTATCACTACCACTTCCAAAAAAATTAAAAATGGTTATTATCCTTATTAACTCCACTGAATGTGGTAAAGAGTGACTAGGAATAAAATGAGCTCTACACTGCTTCTATAAAACCCACCATGGGGTAAAATGAATTTTAAGTTAGCCATCCAAGAAGATATAAAGTAATCTGTAATGTTTCTGAGAAATTTGAAAATAGATTCACTTCTGTATATTCCATAAGAAGATACATAAGTCATTTATTTTCTTTGAGATATTGTCTACTTCAACACTGAAGTTAGAATGATTACTTACTATCTTAAATTGCACTTCCCAAAATGATCTCTGGTTATCAATTCCACTCTACCTAACCTCTTAGTGTTCATTAACCACAAATAACTTACTGAAAAAAATGGTGTGCTAGGAAATGAAATTTATTACAAATACATGCATAAAATTTATTCCATAACTATATAAAAAAATAATTGTATTTCACTACTACTTATATGTTAGAATTGGGTTAAGCTAGAACTGAATGGCAATTTGAGATACTTTAGATTTCCCAAAGGCCTTAAGACCATTAAGGAAAGTTAATAGGAAATCGTGTAAGATACTTCCTACACCTTATTCAAGTCCTGACTTATACATATTTTGTTTCATGAAAAAGACCAGTTTTCTACACAAATCAGCGTATCTTCCATGACTATCACATCATTTGTGAAGTCCCTAATCTAGAATGTAAAATCTAACATTAGCATTCCCCTCTCACCTTTCTGACTGCAATCTGACTAGATGAGCAACTGAGCTAAATGCTTCAAGTGAACCACAGTTTATTAGCTTATATTTTACCTGAAAGGATTAAAACCATAAAAACTGACAAAAACGCCTTATCCAGGAAATTCAGTACAGTCAAATGAGTGGAAAATAAAGCAATTATTTAAACCCATTAATTTACATTTATTAATAATGGCAAATAACATCACCCAAAAGTATTAGAAAATTAAATCAAAGTTAAGTCATCATTTAAATGAGAAGAATTACTTTAATATTTCTACAAACAGGAATAAAGCTTAGGTCAATGTTAAGTTTTTCTTTTATTTCCAAGGTATATCATTTCTAAAACAAAACCTGGAACAAAAATAATTTCAACTCACGTTTCTCTTGCAATGATTTTACTTCCAATGGCAGCTTGAATTGCAATCTCAAATAGCTGCCTAGGCAGAGAATCCTTCAGACGTTCACATATGATTTTGCCAACAGAATGCGCTTTGTCTCTTGAGACAGAAAAAAATGACAACCAATAATTACATAAAGACTTGTCAAAATTATTACATTCATATTCCATGATGAAGTTTTTTTCAACTTACTTGTGTACAACAGTTACTAGCTCTTCAACAATATTTCCATTCAATAGAATATCCATTTTCACAAGTTCTGCAGTCTGGTAGCCTGCATCTTCATAATCAAAACTAACAAGAAAAATATCCAAATGATAAACGTTTATACTTCCAAAGATATGACAATTTTTTATTCAAAACATTCATTTTCTATTCCCTCCCACCCAAAAAAATATTTCCAGCAAAATATTGCATACACATTTTAGAATAAGTGGTTCTGAATAGCCATAATCAGGAACACAATTCCTCATCTTTTTGTATTTATGAAAAGAGGGGTAGAAACCAGGGGGGAACATCTCTATGAGGGGAGGAAAAAGAAACTGGATCCCTATTAGCAAATGGCACCTTCTTCCCAATGTTCCAATGTTTTTATAGACTAAGTATGGCTTTTTTTTTTTTTTAATGGATACAGATGTTCCTAGGACTACATAACAAATATATTTTAGAAGTTCCACTCAGCTCTCAGTAGCTTTTTAAAATTATGTACAATTCTTAATTAATAAGTAGAAGAACATGACTTTTCATGAAGGGGGTAGTAAATTTTTTTTTCATTAAAGGACAGTAATACGGACTCCCTGGTGGCACAGGGGTTAACATCTCAGTGCTATCAAGCTATAGCCAGCCACTGCAGCATGAGTTGACTCCCCAGCCAGGGAGCTGACCCACATGGCGCAGCAGACCTCTCTCGAGTCACCCACTGCTATCTCGCCCACTGCTCCCCTCAGAAATGCATTTCATTAAATCTGCCTGTTATGCTCCCCACTCTCTCTGGTGAATCCTCTTATACCCCGCACCTCTGGCTTATGCCCCAGTTTATGTATGCATAAATAAATAAAGTCTTAAAAAAAAAAGGTAACAGTTTAGTCAATCAAAGGAACTTATTCTCCCAGAAGCAACATACAAGTATTCTTTAACACCTATAAGGTTGCTCTAAGCCTTTCTAACCTTAGAATGTGATTCTCAACTATCTTCAAGAGATTAATAAATAAGTGACATTTTAGTATACTCATATTGGTCAATATTTTTTAAAAAAATTGTTCAGGAGCTAAATTTCCCCTTATATATTTACCTAGCATAGCCAGAAGATAGGGATTTCAAAGAATCATAAAAGTCCACCACAATTTCATTCAAAGGGAAGAGATATTTCAGCATAACTCTATTTTGATCAATAAATATCATATTCTTCTGAACTGCTCTTCGAGCCTAAAGCAAAAGAATGATAACCTATTCAAATAATGATTACTGACGAATGTCAATTACTAACTTAAAAATTTCTTTACAAATCCTAATACAGCGAGGGCAAAAATGAAGGAATAGTTCTTTAATGGTTGAGCAAAAATATGCAAGCAGTTTATCTAATACAGGAAGAATCAGTTTATAACTCAATTATACTATATTTGTTACCAGAGCTTTTAATCCTTTTTATCAATTTTATCTTTTTTGATTATATAGTATTTCACTTAACAATAAAATCAAAGTTCTTGTTTCCTATTCTTATTCATATTGGAGTGTTTCAAATAAGCATTTTTTTAGGATGATTATATCCAATTTGGGCATTACAGTGTGGCACAAAAATGAAAGCAAAATGGGAAATGGGAATATTTTTTAATCAAAGGTCTCTGAAGTATTATAATTATCTTTCAAACTATATTCAATGTCAAGTACTTAAGATGGCAAAAAGAGTGATTATTTTGGCTACTGAAGATAAATAAGAATCAAATTTCTTCCCTTTGGGCTAAAATATCAATTCAGTAATTAACACAGATGGTCAAAAATTTTGGCTCTACTTTTATTTAAAATCAAAATAATTTTAGAAGCACATGTAGGTATATATATGGATCTTTTTGAAAATTTCCTAAACCCATGGTGGGCAGAGATGAATCTTTCAAAACCTGAGCTGGGAACCAGCAATGGAGAAGACTAAAACTTATTTCTGTATTAAATTGTATAGTATTGGGCCTCCCCTGGTGGCACAGCGGTTGAGCGCTGGGCTGCAAAGCTGCCCAAAGCCTCTGCAGCGCCGGTTCAATCCCTGGCCGCCAGTGAGGGTCCCACATGGTGCAACAGACCTCTCTTGCCGTGCCCGCTGCTCCCCTCAGCAGTGTATTTCATCAGTCTGCCTGTTCTGTTCCCTGCTCTGGCTCTGGTGAATTCTCTCACCCTCCCACACATCTGACTGTACCCAGTGCTTATATAAATAAATAAATAAATAAATCCTCATAAATAAATAAATAAATAAAATTGTATAGTATTTATACCTGGCAAAGCATCATTATTTTTCCAGTATATTCATCTGGCGTGATAATGGTGCCCAAAACAACTGGCTCCAAATACTCTATCACTTTTGATTTATCAGGGAATTGTGCAGGATTGATGATTGTAATTTCCTTTTCTCTGTATTCCTAAAAGAAGTATCACCAAGCATTAAAAAGAAATCTTAACATATGTCAAGTTATAAAATTTGCTTCTATATAGTATGTCACTGAACCTGATGAAATAAATAAAAACAATCATTAGAATATTATCTTAATAGGCTTTGGGTTTAAAAATCCCTCTAACTAAAATCATTTAATATTAATAAGAATTTACTACAGTAACATATTCTGGTTACTAACATCTACTAAACACATTTGATACACAATTTTAAAAGAGTTTGATACAAGAATACATTTCAGGGCCTCCCTGGTGGCAAAGGAGTGAAAAACAGCGCTATCATGCTATCGCCAGCCACTGCAGCACGAGTTTGATCCCGGCCAGGCAGGGAACTAACCTACATGGTACAACAGACCTCTCCTGCCTTACCCACTGCTCCCCTCAGCAGTATATTTCAGTACATCTGCCTGATCTGCTCCCCACTCTTTCTGGTGTGTCCTCTCATCCCCCAAACCTCTGGCCTACATCACCCCAGTTCTTGTACACTTAAATAAATCTTTAAAAAAATTCATTTTAATCTGCCAAATGGCCAACAGGCATATGAAAAGATGTTCAACATCCCTTATCATCAGGGAAATGCAAATCAAAACCACACTGAGATACCACTTTACACCAGTGAGAATGGCACATATCAAAAAAACAAGCAACAAATGTTAGCGAGGATGCAGTAAAAAAGGAACTCTCCTACATGGCTGGTGGGAATGCAAACTGGTCCAACCACTGTGGAAAGCTGTCTGGAGGTTCCTCAATCTACTAAAAATGGAACTACCATACAATCTGCCAATTCCACTACTAGGGATCTACCCAAAGGACACAAAAACAGTGATTCAAAAGAGCACCTGTGCACTTTTTTTTTTTGCAGCACTATTTACAATAGGTACAACCTGGAAACAACCCAAATGTCCAAAAATAGATGACTGAATCAAGAAGATGTGGTGTATATACACAATGGAATATTATTCAGCAATCAAAAAAAACAAACTCATGCATTTGCGGCAACGTGGATGGAGCCGGAAGGAATTATGCTCATTGAAATAAGCCAGAAGGAAAAAGAAAAATATTGGATGGTTTCCCTTATAACAGGAATCTAGGGGAACCAAATAAGACATCAGTGTAAAAAAATAATAGTAACAGTACAAACCACAACAAAGCAAAAACAGACAATTATAAACCAGAGACATCCTATGGGAGAGGAGGAGGGAGAGGGGGGAGGGGGAGGGAGGGAGGAGCACAGGGGACTGAAGTGATGGTGCACGGGTACCTTGGGAAGGAAATTCTATGGGGACTCAATCTGAGAGGGTGGGAGAAGCAAATATTGTCTAAAAAAAAGTAAAAAAATTGATAAATGTTAAAATAAAAAAATTAATAAATAAATAAAAATTCAGACACTGAAAAAAAAAATAATAATCTGCCCCTTAAAAGGCATTATAATTAGTTGCCTTGGTTTTGCCAAAAATTTTTATAGATGCCAAAGTCAGTATTTGTTTAAAATGAAAAGAGTGCCTTCAAGATAGAATACAATATTGTCTCTATCACTAACTTGAAATCCAAAATTTCCTGTATACATGTAGGAATGAATAACCCAATTTTCAAAGATAACTTAATGATCAACAAAACTCTATTCTTCCATCTTTGTGTGCTGAATTTTGAATAATATTTTCATCATTCTACTTTTTATCTTCAGTAAAAGTCTAGTTATTAATAATGTGATAATCCTATCAGATTAAGGAAAAATAACACATAATTTCTCTAAGGACTGTCTCCATCATTATTCTTAAGGTTATACAACTTTTATTGCTATTATTCAAGAAATTTTAGTTTTAATACTAGTCAGCAACTGGTGTATTAAGTTTTTCTTGCATTCTACATACATACATACACATGCACATTTATTTAGTTCTCCCTTTTATACTGGTGCACAACAGTACCTCAGTACCTTTATCAATTTTGCTGACGAAAGAACAGCTTTGTATGGAACAGTAGGGGTTGTCAAAATAACAGAAGTATTATATTCTTGCTCTAGTCGCTGGTTGAAAACTTCCATATGCAAAAGTCCAAGAAATCCCAACCTGAGAGAGAAAAAAACAAACTACAAAATTTTTATGTCCCATGGGTCTATTTTCTTTGGTAAATTACTGTGTGGAGTAGGGATGGAATCAAGAGTCACTTAAGCAATTCACATTGTAATAAGACAGCAACATAATATTATTAAATCTGGGTCAAATCGTTCATGGATAAAATCACTATAAAACTTATCCACAAAATGTAACTCCACAGTGTGAAATAGGCAGACAGAAATGTGTTAGTTCACTTTATGTTCAGAAACATTCAAGAGCAACAAGTCATTTAAATTTTATTTTCCACTAAAAATGGGACCCTACAATGTAATACAATCTTACCTCCAGCCAGCACCTAGGGCAAGGCTACTATCCCGATGAACTGTCACACTGGAATCATTTAAAGTCAGTTTTTCCACTGCACTCTTCAGGTTATTATATTCAGATTGATCTATAGGGTACATTCCTGGAGACACAATAATTCCTAGTTATCACATGTGAAAACTTGCTTAGAGAATTAAGTTAAACATGACAATCATTTAGCTTTTAAATATTTCACAGATTAAAATATTGCTTTGCTAAAAATCTGAATATTGTTACAATAACTTCAGTGTATCTTGCAAGTTTCAACTGGATTCACATCTCAAAGGATGCTTTTATGCTTTTGCAATAATACAGGGAACACAAAAAAGAATAATGGGAATTAGGGTTATCAGGAAACTATATTGTATACACTTCAAGAAATAAAAGTGCAAGCTAATCTAATACCACAAATGAAACTCCATTCTTAGATTAAAAAACAGGAGTAGAAATGAAAACTACTCTGTACTTTTTAATTCACTAGGATTATTAAAATCAAAGATAGGTTTGCTTTTTTCAATTCACTGACAAAAATTGTCTGATTCATAGTCTCTTAATTCTGACACCTCAAATCCTCACCTCTAGCCCTCCAAAATCCAAATGACTGACTCTGCCTAAATGTCAGAAGAAATAATGTTCTTAAATTCCCACTGAGAGATATTAAAACTAAAGGGAGAAAAACAAAGGCTGAATACTCAGCACAGAATAACCTGACCTACAATCAGGTCTTTCTTTTTCAAATGTCTATTATCACACAGCAGTAAAGGTTCTGAGGTCATCCATCCCTGAGATGACACTATTCTCTGTCATGTCCATACCAGTAAAACAGTAAAGGTGAGTTAAAAAGAAAACACTCAGTAAGTGTCCACTGACAATTACTAATAAAGACATCGTAATGAGAAAAAAATTTAAATATAATGACTAACTCCATAGGAAAACAAAAAGGGCATTCATATTACTGCTATGTATCAGAGAGTGTGTTTCTTACGAGCCTATTTCTTAAAAAGTACTGAAAAAATTTAGGAATGATTTTCACATAAAGTTTCACCATACATATGAAACGGTTAATATGCAAACAGTACACAATGAAAATAAATAGAATGCCCTAGAGTTATTTAAAGTATTTCCAGTAATTTGTCCTTCAATTCACAAACATATTTTTAAAGTAATAAGTCCCTCATCCTTTGGATTTGTGAGCTTCTCACCTGCAAATACCATTGGTTTCGCTGACTTAAACCCAGGCAAGGGTTCCACTGGTTGCTTATGTAAATATAATGTATCTCCTATTTGTGCTTCAGTGACATCTTTCATCCCAGCAATCAGATAGCCCACCTGTCCTGCATATCTAAATAAAATTATTATATGGATATATTTACTGCTTTAATGTTGCAAAGTGCATACTCACAATTAGCTTTACCTCCCCAGGAAATAGTCATACTTTCCAAACAAAATTTAATCAAACTGAAAGTGCAACCTAGTAATTCTCAACTCTGATGATTGTCAGCAAAACAACATACCATGACTTAGAATCCCTTACCAAGAACCTCTGCACCACAATAAGTTTAAGAACTTCATGAATTTCCCCACCATTGCATATTAAGCCACTTGTAAACTATTTTGTAAACACAGTGAAACTGGCAAAAACAACATACTCCTTGTAACTGCTGTTTCATTAGTGAATTGTGTTACAAATGTGTTTTAAGGAAAAAAGAGAAGAAAAATGAATTCTCAACAAATCTCACATCTATCTTATGTTTCTCTTTGAAGAAAAGGGCAAATACCCAGATTTCAAAATTTTACCTTATTTTTTTAAAGCTAGAATAGCAAATTGCCAACATGAAATGATCAGATTTACGTTTAGAATGCAGCATACAAACAAGAATGCTAACTAAAGATGTGATAATACTAGGTCAATGTATGGCAGACTACAGACAGACTTTAAAAATATTTAAGACTCTCAAATAGGGCCTCCCCATTGGCACAGCGGTTGAGCGCTGGGTTGTGAAGCTGCCCGCAACCTCTGCAGCGCCAGTTCGATCCACGGCTGCTCCCTGGCCACCGGGGGAGGGTCCCACATGGCGCGCAGACCTCTCCTGCCGCCCGCTGCTCCCCTCAGCAGTGTACTTCGGTCCTTCTGCCTGCTCTGCTCCCCACTCTGGCTCTGGTCAATTCTCTCACCCTCCCGCGCTTCTGACTGTACCCAGTGCTTGTATAAATAAATAAATAAATCTTGAAAAAAAAAAAAAAAGACTCTCAAATAAAAAATGTAGTGAGCAAAATGCTAGTTTTGTCTAAAACTTCAAGTAAGTGTGACTATAGAGTCATCTGGACAATATCTTAATTTTTAGATGAGGAAACCAAGACTGAGAAAGCTTCAACTATGTGCCCAAAGTGAACCATCTTATCAGTACCTAGAGTACTGATGGAGGAAGCACTCAGTAAATACAGTTCTAAGTCAACTTAGAACTCAGTATTTCTAATGCACCTTATCTTACTAACCCCACATACCATAAGTTCTAGTTAATCTAGGTTTCTCCATGATCGCCACTACATAAGATTTATCAAATTTTCTACACTACTTTTATGGTTGAAGACTTTAATTGTAAAAGTAAATATCAAAATATCCAGTATAGATACAAATGAGTAAATAAACTACCTTTCACTGTCTCATCAAATATTTCTGCATCAAACCCAGTCTTCACCATATCATAAAAGTAGTTATGGCTAACCAAAAGAAATAAAAAACATCAAATTTCTACTGCCCTTCACACATGAGATATCTTTCAAAAGAACGTTCACTTTATATTTGAATTGAATAATCCAGATTGTTTCTTTTTTCAAGTTACCAAACTAGTCATGTTAACTATACCGTATTGAGAAAGGCAAAAATAGAAACACTTAAGTGTATTTTAATTACTAATGCAGAGTACTTACAGTTTATCAGTTGGCTGTTCATTAGGATTGAGAATTCCTATTTCATTAACTTCATATGTCTTTTGAGCATGTGCAGATACAATTTTATCTCCTTTGGAAACCATTCCATCAAATAAAGCTACATTGGCTATCACACCCCTATACTGGTCAAAGGTGGAATCAAATACCAAAGCTCTCAGAGGATTTTTGCGATGCACTTTAGGACTATTAAAAACAATTAGAAATGTAAAAATTAACATAACAAAATCTAATAAAATTCCTATTTTAAAATTAAATATTATGTTTAATTTAGCCTGGTATTTGAGAAAGGTTGATTATGGAACACCAAAATAAAAGGACTTCTCTATAAGGTATGATGCTTATATCTACAGTAGTTTAATTCAACTTTGAGCTTTAAATAAATAGCCTTTTATAAATTATGAAATTGACAAAATGTATTTATTCAGTATTAAAAAAAATAGCTGCCAACTTTCAAATCTCTATTTCAATGATTGTTAAGAAGAGAACCCTATTATATTTGCTTTCTTCTATTTTACATTAATGAACCTGCCTTCTAAATATTACTAAAAACTGAAAGTTTTCCTCACTACAAGAGTATATCAGCCATAATTACGAAGCTAAAACAACAGATCAAATTGATTGTCTTTATACTTTTAAAGACATACAAAAGGTACAGAAATAGAAAAGTACTTACTGGGGTATTCTTTCAATGACTGCCTGAAGAACACGTTCAACATTTGTTCCAAATTTAGCAGAAATCTACAAATATATATGTGAAACAAATAAACATTTACAGTTGAGATGCTACTTTTCTGGTGACTATGCTTGACCATAAAAATATAAAAGAATCATAAATAATTTTGTTGAAAGAATACAGTAAAAAGAAGCACAAAGCCTATGTTGATAAAATGGCCTTCAATTACAATTAGCAATGGATCTTGGATTAAATTATAAGAATACTCTGATTATGTTGCTGAAAAAACAATGGACTAAGTTAAAAAATTCAGGATAACAAACATGACTGTGCATGAAACGTACTGCCTTAACCAATACATAGTTCTCTGAATTTCAAATTCCTTAGCAGATATATGATTATTCACATTTTACCTAAACCTCAAAACTTTCTATGGACATAATAAACAATACATGTAGATGGCACAGAGGTAACTGTGAGACATGTTACTACTATTTTGCTCTCACAGTGAGAAAGCCAAAGACTCCATAACACATGCACATATCTAAACTTTTTTATCACTAGTAATTAGACTGTCTCTGAACCATAATTTAAAAACCCATTCCTGAATATCACCTCTTACGCTTCACTCACTCTAGGTGAGAGTTCTCAACTTGGCACTAGCGACATCTTGGGCTGGATGATCCTTTGTTTTGGAGGCTAACCTGTGCATTGGAGGGTATTTACTCACATCCACTCACAGGATTCCAGTGGCACTTACCCCCTATATGTGACAAAAAAACATCTCCAGACATTTCCAAATGTCACCTGCAGAGCAAAAAACTATTCCCTAATAAGAACCATTGCTCAGGATTCCAGTATAATCTTTGCAATAATTCTTTAAATCACAACCTCAAATCCATTAACATTCCTTTCTTACATTATCTGTTATCCTCCTGCCCTGCCCCTTTCCCTTAATATGTTCCTTTTCCATCCTTATACTCTGAGCAGCTTAACATTACCGGAGAAAAACCAAGAACCTGGTATGCTTGGATTCTTGTGACCACTTCTCATGACTACAGATCTCAATTGTGCAATTAACAAATTCTGCAGTTCCAGGACCCATCCATAATAAATTCACATTACCACTCAGTAAGACTATTTCATACCACCTTCCTTTTCAATCCATATTTTCCTTTCTGGTCAACTCACTTTCATTGATGACTTTGCCTTTTATTTCATCAAAGGATACAGAACACATCAAAAATTCCTTTCTGTAGGGCCTCCCTGGTGGTGCAGGGGTTAAAGACAGCACTATGAAGCTATTGCCATCCACTGAAGCACAAGTTCAATCCCCCACCAGGAAGAAACCCACATGGCACAGCAGACCTCTCCTGCCTCGCCCGCTGCTCCCCTCAGCAGTATGTTTCAATACATCTGCCTGTTTTGCAACCCACTCTCTCTGGTGAATCCTCTTATCCCTCTCACCTCTGGCCTGTACCCCAGTGCTTGTATGCATAAATAAATAAATCTTTTTAAAAAAGTTCCCTCTCTAAATACACAAATTAATCTGCACTTACACTCACAACCTCGATTTTACTTGTTACAACCTGAGAATGTGTCCCACTTCTCTAAAAAGTCAATCCTTCAAAGTTTCTATTCTGAATCCTACTCTCTAATCCTTCTCAACTTTGTACTCAACACCCAATAATGTAGTCTGACTTCTAGGCCACTTTTCTGCCTACTCTTTCTCCCTAGGAAATTGCATCCATTCCATGCCCTTAATATCACATAGGTGCTGATTCCTAAGTATCTATCCACTGTCCCAAACCTTTCCACAAATGCCAGAATTGCAGATTTACAAAATATCTCTACTTTGACACCTATATTTTCCTTTCATATCTGTTCCTACACAGGTCACCTCCATATTAATAAGTACTAGTATTCAACCAGTAGCTCAAATCCAAGTTCTCTTGACTCTTTTCTTTTACTTCCTTACACATAACCATCAGCAAATCTGTTGTGCCTACAAAATTCCTACCTACTGCTATAAAGCCATCTCATTCAATTTACCTCCTTTCTCTTCTTTAAAGCATGCTAAACCTTGACAAACACCTCAAGCCTTTTACTCCTGCTTTTTTTCTTCTTGGAATGCATTCTTCTTAAGTCTTCATTTTCTCATGTCTCAGTTCATCAAACAGATTTTCCCTAAGCTACTCTGCCTGATAGCATCTGAGAGGAAAAAAAAAATAAAAAGATTTCTCCATTGTTAAAAATGGTATTCCATCTGGAAGACTGCAATTTGTTGAATGAATATATTTGCCAATATATGTCTCATTCAATAATTACTATTCCACGTTACCAGGATTCCAGGATGGCCTTAAAATGAGGTCCTATTCATAAAAAAAACCATTACATTCTCTGTGTGTGTATGTATCCAAAAAGGAAAATTACTACTTCTTCAGTTATTATCAAGTTATTTGTAATCATCATTGTGTTAAGGTTAAACAAAAAGAACAATTTACCACCTGAAGCTTGCTTTTTCAAAAATCAAATGATATTGAAAGTAGACACTAAATATTGTACTGCCACAAAGACATCATACCACACAAGTAAGTAAAAATGACATTGTAAAACTACAAAAACATTTAACAATTAAGAGCTAGCTATGAACTTTTTTTATTTAGGACAATTATCTGAAATTTTAAAGTATAAACATCTCTTCAAAAAAATAGTATTTTACCTTAATACATTCATCACTTGGAATATCAAATAGTTTTTCAATTTGTTTTTCAACACTTTCAGGATCAGCATTCTTCAGATCTATCTTAAAAAAAGACATTATCACTTACTATAATGATAAATGTATTCTGCGTTAACAGTATTTGGACATGAAAGTGTAACTGCTTTTAACCTAACTTATCCCACAATGATTTTTTTCCTAAAGTATTAATATATTCTAAATCTAGAAAATACAATTTTAATAAGCAAGGCAATTGAACAATAGAGAGCAGCAGAAAATTTAACAGTTACTCAATTGTTCAATAACAATTATCAATTATTATCATGTAAACTGACTTTAATATTAAGTTAGAGATAACTTATGACAGCATACCAGCACAATTGGGCAAGTCTGCTTCTCTTAAAACTTAACTTCAATATAAAAAATATAAATGGATACAATGTAGATTTTTAAATTGATTCTTTATTAATTTAAAAATATATAAAAGTTGAGGTTACTCAGTTTAGCACTTACCTATTATAGTTCAGGCTATATATTGTTTCCTGCTAGGTGATATGCTCCTTTTCATTTCCTATATAGTGTAACACATATTTTGGCTGCCCTACATTCCTTCCCTACAAAAAAAGCTGTTCATCACTTTATATAAATTCAAGGAGAATATCTTTTCAACTACATAAAAATGTACAGGTGTTTGAATTGCAATTCTACCCATGAAACCAAAGAAATAAATCCCACCCAACAACATATTAATAAACGTTGAAGATCCTTCATATAAAGAGTGGATTTATGTGATACTGTGATTTATAGTAAGAAATATGTTTGTTCTTAGCCCCCTTTCTGGCACACAGTTCCCAAAACCCTTAAAATATAAGTGGCAAAACAACTTTTATTATGTTTATGATGACTGCAGGACCTCATCTACATAACGTGGTTGACTTCCAGTGGAGCCAAACATAAGATTAGATGGTTGGAACTTTCAGTTCCACTGACCTCTGGGGAGAGCAGAAAGGGGCTAGAGATTGAGTTGACCACTCATTTAATCAATCATGCCTCTGAGCCTAACCAGTCTAGCTCCACAGTCTCTATCCTTAACTTGTTCATTCAACTCCATAAAAATCAAAAGGAAAGGTTTCAAAGAGTTCCAGATTGGAGATTTGGGGAGAATAGTGCACTCAAAAAGGGCATGGAAGGTCAATGTCCCTTCCCACATACATTGCCCTATACATCTAAACATATATTTAGTTGTTCTTGAATTATATTCTTTTATTAAAATCAGTAATCTAGCAAGTAATCTAGCAAAATACTTATCTGAGTTCTGTGAGCTGCTCTAGCAAATTAATTGAACCCAAAGAAGAGTTTGTTGGAACCTCTGACTTAAAGCCAGTCAGTCAGAAATACTGGTAACACCCTGACTGTTGACTAGTGTCCTATGTCCAAGGAAGAGATCATGGGAACCTCCAATTTATAGCTGGTCATCAGACGCCCAGGGAACAACCTGGCTTGCGACTGGAATAGAGAATTAGGGGGTGAGAACAGCAGCAAGGGGGCACTCTTATAGAATCTGTAAAATCAGATTCTAACTCCAGATACTATCAGGATTGAGTTGAATTATTGGACAGTGAGCTGGTGTCCAAGCACTGCCTATTGATGGTATGGGAAAAATGAAACCTCTCACATTAGAAATTGGATCACAACAAAACATTTTACTTGATATTTAAACGCTAAATATACTTTTAGAAAGTAAAATCATAAATAGCATTGTTTTTTCATTATAATTACCTTGTTTATAACTGGAATTACTGATAGTTGTGCTTCAAAAGCAAGAAAGAAGTTTGCTACAGTTTGGGCTTGAATACCCTGGAAAAGTCAAAACATAAGATACTGAGATTTTCTACCATCTCTCCAAAATTTCTAAATCAAGACCACCTGATACACCTTTATCAAAAGCAGAGACACACAACAAACAATGGTATCTATACTATTATGCATCCATTCCCTGTGAAAATGCCTTTCAGTTTGAAAGCATTTACTGGGGGCTCTATGCTAGGGCACTACACACAAAGGTCAAACATGAAGGTCATCAAAATAGAGGTCACAGTCATGTGACGCAGTTTATAAAATGAAGTATTGTGTGTGTGTGTGTGCGCGTGCATATTAACTTTCCCCGAAAGAATCAGGGATGATTTCACATAAATTAAAAAAAAATTGGGGAGATTCCGTATAGACTTCATAAGAAATTGAAATATATCAAAAGCTTAATTTAAAAAATAATATATCATAACTCTGGTATGCTCATCAAATAAGAACTGAATATGTCTCTTAGAGTTATGTCTATGCCACAAAAGAACTCAGTAACATTATACATGTGTCCTTTAAACCTAACTATTCCCCAAGAACCAGAATGGTAGATTACCAAAAAGGTCCGGTAGGTTCACTAACAAGAACCAGGGGGAAAAGGAAAAAAAAGGAAAAAGGAAGAAACCTAACAATTCCCAAATTAATACTTGACAATAACCAAAATGAACTGAAAATTTAAGACTTATTTTCAAGTTTTGCTAAAAATTGATGTGAAAACATCTACTAACAACATCGTAAATCAATAAAAAGTACAATTTCATGTACAATTCCTGTATCAGTTTAAAAAATCTAGAAGATTCACTAGTCAGTTTCACAGAATGCTTCAGTATAATAAAACTTAAATTAAGAGGGATAAAGCACATGATTTTTATTAATAAATCTTATTTTTTTTCAAACACAAAAATGCTCCCTATAACACTTTTTAAGTATAATCTCTTGAGATAACCAAACAGCCAAATCATGTTATACAAAATGAAAAGTACCTACCTCATTTGCATCAACCACAAGTAAAACACCCTGGCAAGCAGAGAGTGACCTGGATACTTCATAACTAAAATCAACATGGCCCTGAGAAAGAAAAAATAGTCATACCCCTAATGTTAGCTGTAGTATTTTTCAGGATTATCACAAATCCTTTAACTCCATTTAATAGAAACTTACTAAGTTTCTTCTTTTAAGCGTAAGCTTGTAAAACAATTTACACTAAGACTGAGCAAATAAAAAAAATGCTAAATATTTAATATTCAGTTTAGAAACTAAACAAGGATTTGTTTACACTAATGGTACAAGGCTGTCTTTAACAAGAGACAAAATTAACATTAAACTTACTGGTGTATCAATAAGATTTAAAAGGTACTGCTTTCCTTCCCAAGCATAGAACAGAGATGCTGTCTGTGCTTTAACAGTGATTCCTCTTTCTCGCTCCACTTGCAATTTATCAAGAACTTGCTTATTATCCTTTGTTTTATCAATTGTCCCTATAAACAGACACAGTTATTGACATTTCTTTGGGCTTTTAAGAAGAGACAATACAACATCTAAAATTAAGAACCAAAAATTTTTAAAGCAGGATTAAAGTAATTACCAACTACTCATTGTCATCAATTATTAAAATAGCATAAAGTGAGGATACCTGTTAGTTCTAGAAGTCTGTCGGCTAAAGTACTTTTGCCATGGTCCACATGTGCAATGATACTGAAATTCCTAGTGTTTTCAACAGGGAATCTAGACATGTCAATTTTTTCCTACAAAAGAAAGAGAAACATATTTATGAGCATTAATTTTTCATAAGATTTCTAAGCCAAAGAATATTCTTTTAGTCTTCTTTGAACAATTTTATTTCTAACATATGTAATGTTTATTCCTCTGACAATAAAGTTAAATTCATATTACAAGCAGTGTATCATATTTGATGTCTCATCAAATATATCTGTTTCACTGCCGACGGTGACCATACAGCTAAATAAAAGTTGCTGATAGTATTTCCACTACTTAGAGGACCAATGAGGAAGAGAATTTATTTTCATGAGTGAAGAAAACAAGATACCCATAACTATTAAACAACCTTAGAGTGACTTATCTAATAAAACCTTTTTAAGGCAAAAAGCTGGGGGGTTGAGGGAGGAAGGAAACTCTTTATCCCTATTACACATTTTATCAGCAGAATCAAATCTATTTAAAAATTTGTGCTCCTAAAAAAGGCTTCAAAAGTTTAATTTAGATACACTTCTGTTACTCAGCAACTTCTCTGGGCATAGATAAAATGAACACCTTAACCCAAAAAAAAGGCCTCATTAAACTTCAAAAATATTTAAAAATGAAACTACTGATTTTTAGTGCATACTTCTTTTTAATAGTGTACTGCAACTCATTACAAACTATTAAAAATTACCATACAAGTAAAATGCCAGGTATTTTGTACTTTGAACACTTTTTTTCAATCAAATCTATATTTCAAAATAAGCAAAAAATATATGTGGAATTACAATAACATGTATAAAGTTGTCATGAGCTTTAAATTTCTATTTTATAAGTTCTCCAATATAAAACAAGAACAATGCAACTGTATCTGAAAGACATTCTGCAAAAAAAAAAAGGAACCTGAAAAAAAAGGGACCTGATTTGTTGTCCTTTGAATTCTCTCTCCCATGCTCCCACCCCAATCAGTTCAAAGATAACGAGGCCCATATCATTTTTAAGAACTATGAATTGCCACACTAACCAATTTTAAATTCCACAGGCGTTTTCAAAAAAAGTAAAACTGATACTCAAAGTTTTTTCTCCAATTACTCCTAACTTTGCATTCAATTGCTTCACTAGTCTGCCTAACGTTTATCTCTTAATAAAAGTTAAATATACTCTAACTTTTAATTTTTAGATTTGGCGTCTGAACTACCCAACCGTGCTTTAGCTAAGGTTAACATAAAACAAACTGAAGGTGAGGGCGCACCCAGCACTTCTAATAGTCTAGGAACCGGCCTGAACGTTCCATGCCACCCATTAGCTTTTGCCGCCACCACTCAGGAATCTCAGGCAGTGACCTGTCCACGGTCACCCCGGCGCGCCATGGAGGGTCAGAAAATCGAGCGGAGCCCGCGCTCGCCGCAGCCTCCTTTAACGGGCGGCACCTGCTCACCGGCAGGAGCCTCAAAAGTCCTTAACCTTCCCTGGGTTTTAAAACTGGCTAAAACCCGGTCACCTTGCGGTCGGCTGAGCTGTAGCGCCTGTCCCGGGCCCTGGACCCCAGAGCAGTCCCGCGGGTGCGCCCCGGCAGCTCCGGCCGCGCGACCCCGGTGCCCCACAGCGCCAGAGCACGCCCGCACCGGCCGCCGCGGCTCGCCAAGGGCCACATCCCCCCCGGAGGGACGCCTCAGGAGACGGTCCCTTGACACGACGGCGTCATCGCCCGCCGCGGGGCTTTCTCCCGGATGCCCCCTTGGGACTGGCGGGAGGTGTCCACGAGGCCCGCGGAACCAAAGGGCACACGGCGCGGCGGGCAGCAGAGCCCACCTCCGCGGGACACCAGGAACGCAGAGCTGTAAATCGACGTCCTCACGTTGCACGACGTCGTGACGTCAGCGGAGTGCGCCGGGCCGTGTGGAAGTCACGTGAAGAAGGGGCCTCGTTGCCGCGTTCTTAAAGCTGGATGTTTGGTAATAACAAGCATTAGTGGGCCTCGCTGGTGGCGCAAGGGGTTAAGCATCGCGCTGTGGAGCAATCGCAGCCTCATGCAGCACTAGTTCGATCCCCGGCCTGCCAGGGAGCAACCACAAGGCGCAGCAGACCTCTCCTGACTCGCCCGCTGCTCCTCTCAGTAGTGTACTTCAGTCAGTCTGCCTGTTCTGTTCCCCGCTCTGTCGGTGTATCCTCTCGTTCCCCCTCTCCCTGGCCTGTACCCCAGTTCTTGTATGCATAAGTAAATATTAAAAAAAAAAAAGCATTAGTTATAACTGCTACAGTTCCAGGTCCTTTGCCTAATGTCCCTTCTTTCTACGGCCCTGGTGTGGGGATCCCTCAGCCACCTTAGGAGCACCAAGCCCAGAGGTGGCCAGCGGTGAGCTCAGCGAGTCTGAATTCTAAATCCTGCTTGGGCTCTTCTCTTCGCTGTTCTTCACGGAGATCGGAGTGAGGACTGAGGTCTAAGACATTAAACATAAAGATGCTGCTAGCGCAACTTTCTAAGAACTCTTACCACATGGTAAAATAATATTGCAACCTTTGTAAAATGTAGAAGTGGAAATATTCCCCTGTTAGTGATACCACTCACGCTGATCATGTCTGAAACAGTTGGTAAAATTGATTGCAACAATGTGTCCTAGGAAAGTATCTTAAAAGAAAAAGCAAAAAGTTACACCCTGAATGCCATAATGTCTCCATCTTTAAATCAGAATGTCAACCTAATGTTTACCTTGCAAAGGGTAGAACTCTGGCCAGGCAGTGTAGGAGATACTGATAAGAGAGAATGAGATCTGGATTTCACTTTCAGTGCCTGTCTCCCTCTAATGCAGGTTTCTTATGATTGTTTCTGTTGTACAGATATCTGAGAAAAATGTAGTCTAGGCCTTTTTAAAGTAACTACCCAGAGTCATACAGTTCTTGATGAAATGGACTGTGAGCCCAGGCAGTCTAGCTCCAGAGTCTCCACCCTTAATTACTCCATTAAACTCTGTTGACCAAGAGTAAATGAAGAAAAAATGGATGAGATATTGAGTTAGTGGTCAATAGGGGAAAATGGCCAAAATTTGGGACAGTGGCATTTTACTTGAGACAAAAATGTCTGAAGAGTTCACATAATTAAAAATTAACATAAATCAAGACTCATTTCCCTAGGAATAAATGTGTTATAGGGGGATTGTAGTCTTAGGTAGTATTTAGGTTTTTTTTTTATTTTTTTAAAGATTTATTTATGTATAAAGAACTGGGGTACAGGCCAGAGGTGTGGGGGGTGAGAGGATTCACCAGAGACAGAGTTGGGAACAGAACAGGCAGATTGACTGAAATACACTGGTGAGGGGAGCAGTGGGCAAGACAGGAGAGGTCTGCTGTGCTATGTGGGTTACTTCCTGGCAGGCCAGGGATCGAACTCGTGCTGCAATGGTTGCGGATAGCTTCATAGGTTGCATCTTAACCCCTTGTGCTACCAGGGAGGACCCAGTATTTATATTTTTAAACTTCTTTAAAAGGTCTACTGGTTTGTTTGGGTTGCAATAATAAAGTGCCATAGACGTGATGGCTCAAACCACAGAAATTTATTTTCTCACAGTTCTGGAGACTAGAGGTTTGAGATCAAGGAGTTAATGGCCTCCTTGTCTTTCAGATGGCCATCTTCTCTCTGTATCTTAACATGGTCTTCCTTCTCTGTACCTGTCTGTGTCCAATCTCTTTCGTACAAGAATACTGGTCATATTGGATTTGGGCTCAACCCAACAACCTCATTCTAACTTAATTGCCTCTTTAAATTATCTTCAACTCTAGTTATGATTGAAAGTGTACAGGAGTTAGGACTTAAATGTATGAACTTGAAGGGAACACAATTCAGCCCCTAATAAAGGAAATAATAAAAGCATAAATAAAAAATCCAGTTCGAAAGATATTGATATTGTGGTGCATTTGTAACACTGTCAATGCCATTAATAAATGTTTTAAATAACATCACAATAGTCATCACAGGCACAGACACAAATTTCTGGCATATTCACTCAGTGTTAATAGGGTGTCTGGTTTTGCTGAGAGGCTGCTAGTGGTGCCACCAGGTGTCCACAGTATAAAGTACAGCCTAGAACTCATTTTTCAGATGAGTTTTAGAATCTCCTGTTTTTTGTTTTGTGGTTGTTGTTGTTGTTTTCAAAAAATAGACATACATTATGGCTTTATAAATATTTTGTATTGCAAAATAGAAGGTGCTTGGGGAAAGGAGAAGAAAATTGACAACTGTTTGATATATAGAATAGACAATTTCAGCCAAGTTTGTGAAGGACTTTTTGGATCAGGTCTTACATATTAGCGTTTTGATATTATCCTATGAAGAACCCATTGTTCAACAAGTCACTTCAATCAGTGCATATTCAACGTGAAGGCAATTAGATCCCCAATTCTCACTAAGAGCAGTGTTAAAGAACTTGCAAATATCCTTAATATACCTTGAATTGCAAAGTGTTTATTTGCAGATGTGTATCATGATTTATTTAACTACTCATCTAACAGTAGACTTTTAGGCTGGAATGAGATTTGATTTGTAATATTTTGAAAAAAAAAGTCTTAATAATGTTACAATTGCAAAGGTATAGTGATGGTAGAGCATTGGAGAGGATTTTGCTTTTGTTGCTGGAAGACCGGCAACACATGCTTGCATCTTTACTGATTCCTAAAGGTGTCTAATCAAGTAATAAGAGGTATCTTGGCAACAAATTCTTTCTTAGTCTTTCTATCATTAGAAATTATATTTATTTATTAAAAATTGAGAGATGAATTCTGAAGAAACAATGTCCAATTATAATCTGCCACAGCATTTGCAAATTTTCTTTCTCTCACTACAACTTTTTTTTGGTAAAACAGCTTTTTCTATTTTCATGTAGACTTATATAATGCTAAAGTAGAGTTCACTAAAAAAAATCTGTGCATTTAGTGACTGTAAATAATGGACACAGTGTGAAAACAAACACCTTCTATTGATCCAAGTCTGTTTCTACCTAGAAGCATAATTGTAACACATAATATTTGTTGAGTATTTACCACTTGCCCTCAATGTTAATTGCTATTATAATAAAATCCTGTCCTCAAATTTTATACACAAATGTAAGCACACGTATATGCTTATATAACTCATATATGTATTGATTAATAATTTAGGTACATTATGAATCATTTAAAAATAAATTTAAATTGAGGTCATAAATAGTACCTAAGAGGGAGGAAAAAATTTATTCTAATAAACTGAATATAGATTTGAATAACTTGTGAAGAAATTCATAAAATCCTAGGAAAGATTTTTCTATAAAATACAGTTATATAGGTCTACTAAATATATATGAATTTGATTCATTAGTGTATTTTAAAATGATTAATATGATTATGGTTATGCATGAATATGAATATGGTTACAAAGAATCTACAACTCAACCACTACTCATATCAACTTTCATAATTTCAGGCATGCATTATGGTTTTGCTAGCATTTAGATATTTCCATGCTAAAAGCTTCACAAAATGTTCAGTAGTAATTCTTCTAGCTTCCACTTTTAAAAGCTAACAAGATATAGCCAAATTAAAAGTCAAAGATAATTACAATGGTATTAATGAAGGAAAACCCTGTAATTTTGTTTCCCTCTTTGCCATAGAATACATTGATCTCTTTAAATTTCATTCAATGAAACAGAATTTTATGCCTGTTTTCATGTGACTGTGTAATATTCAAGTCTGCAGTTATAGGCTTATAAAATAGAAGCAGCATGGTTTTTAAAGGGCAGATAGTCAGAAACAAATCTTATGTGGTATTAACAAAAGGAGCATATAGAGAATACTGACCAAAATGTATTTTTTTTAAAATACTGACCAAAATTACTTTTTAAAGTAATGGAAAGCAGAATATATTTTTTCTGTATTAATGAGAGTAGAATTCATAGGTTTAATGGAATCAATACACATTAAAGTCTAGTACAGACTGCCCAAAAAAAAGTAATTGAGAAAACGGCAGCAAAAACCCCATTTCTCTGTCGGGAGAGTCAGAACATGACATATTTTTCTCTTGGCTCATTAGCAGCTATGTTCAGCTGAATAGTATTTTTTGGAAATTGTGAATAAATAACATTTTTAGTATTTCCAACAGGTAAACTCAAAACAGCAGTATTTCGGAGAGCCCATAGCCTTTGGGGAGAAAAAAGGTGCAAGTAATGAAAGAAATTGAGCTGAGTGAGAGGATAGATGTTCTAGACCAGATTCTGTGACTTATCAGGTGTGTGAACATTGCACACGTCACAGAACCTCCATTTTTACATCAAAGGATTGTAGTAATGGATGTTATAATCTTAAATAACTCCTAGATTGATATACAACAATTGAAATACTGAGTTCTGAGTAGGGGATATTAATAGCAGCGATTCTTCATCCATCCATCCAAGCTATCATTCATCCTTTAATGTACATATGTACGCATAATTGTGAGGTATAGGGCAATTGTTTCAGATATAACTGTTGATCATCTCACAATCTCTTCAACGTTTTTTAAATCACCAGAGAGAAATTAAGAAACTACAAATGGAGTTTTTCTCCTTATTCCCACTATTAACTGTAATCAACAAGCACAGAAGAAACTTCCCTGTTTTTTGGTAAGTCATTGTCATTAAAGATAAAATTTTTACAGTCTTTGTAATATAAACTTTATTACCACTTTGTAAGTCTGTATTTCTAAAGTAATGTTATGCTTTATTGAAAATTAGTTTATGTGGGAGAGTGTAGTAAGCTTAAACCAAGCTGATAGAATGGAGATGCAGCTAATTGATTAGTGGTATATCTATTTTAGAGATAGAATTGATAGACGTCATTGACAGATTAGAAGATTTCTGATTTGAGTAAGTGAGTAATTTCCTGAACTGGATAATAAAGCATTGGGTTGGGGAGAGTATAGATTTAAAAAAAAATTGGTTTGGATTATCTATCAATATGAGATACCAAATAGACTAGAGCTGAGAAGAAAAATGAAGTATTCATATGTGACCTCAGAAACTGTATGTATGTGATATATAAAGCCAAGGGAGTTGATGAGATTACCTTGGGAGAGTTTAGGGAGAGAACAGAGGCAAAGGAGTGAAGAATTGAGAGAAGGAAAAAGGGAAAAAAGAAAAGGAAAGAAAGTGTTTGTGAGTAGAAAATGATGCTCTTTATAGCAAATGAAAATATTTATTTATAACATATTTATATAATCATATAAATACAGAAACTAAAATAATCAAATGATGAAACTGGCTATTGCTGATATTACTTTAAATTCTGTCCATCATACACTGTAACAGATAATTCACTAGTGGAACAAAGCATTTAAATGTATATTTTATACCCATACAGTGTTGCATGCATAAAAGTAGCTTCCATGTATTCTGGCATATGTATTTATGGTCTATTTATGCTTTTGTCATGAGAATGAAATCATTTGGTCTTTAGTGTTTCATGCTTTATAAATCCCTTGAGGCTTAGATTAATTGTATTTTTATATGCTAGTATTTATGCAGGAAAACTTAAGTTAAAAAGTACAAAGTCATGAAATAAGTTTAAATTTCAATTAAATATACCAAGATTGAAAATATTTTTTTTGATAAACTTTTCTTTGGATTTTATTGTCAGAAGGAAAAATGTGGGACCTCCCTTGTGGTCTAGGGGTTAAGTCTCAGTGCTATCACTGCTACTTATGGCCTGAGTTCCATCCCTGGCCAGGGAGCTAACCCACATATGGTACAGCAGACCTCTCCCATCTCGCCTGCTGCTCCTGGAGCAATGTATTTCAGTAAATCTGCCTGTTTTGCTCCCCATTCTGTCCCCACCCCCCACACCTCTGGCCTATACGCCAGCTCTTCTATCAAAAAAAAAAAAAAAAAAAGATTAAGAAGAAGAAAAAAGAATGCACCCTTACCCTTAGTCAGGAAGGGATGAAAGGATAGGCCTATGTTTTCACATAAAGAACTTTGAAAAGGGGCCTCCCCGGTGGCGCGGCGCTTGAGCGCTGGGTTGCGAAGCTGCCTGCGGCCTCTGCGGTGCAGGTTCGATCCCCGGCTGCTCCCCGGCCACCAGAGGAGGGTCCTACATGGTGCGCAGACCTCTCCTGCCGCCCGCTGCTCCCCTCAGCAGTGTGCTTCGGTCCTTCTGCCTGCTCTGCTCCCTGCTCTGGCTCTGGTGAATTCGCTCGCCCTCCCACGCTTCTGACTGTACCCAGTGCTTGTATAAATAAATAAATAAATCTTAAAAAAAAAAAAAAAGAAAGAGAAAGAGACTAGATATTTAAAAAAAAAGAACTTTGAAAAGAAGAAATAGAAAGTATGGTGATCTAAATTTAGCTATTATGTTACAATTTGATCTTTTCTTATATGTTGTAAAACAGCTAGATCATCCTCAATAAATGTCCCTATCTTCTTCCTCCATCTAATGAAACTGAACCTTATAAGACATTTCCATATCTTTTTTTCCTGTTCACACTTTTGTTGTCAGTGGACCTTCTCCAGTTAGACAATTATTTCCCTGGAATGAACTTTTATTTCTACGCCTACTCCTGTCTCAGCTCCTTCAATTCATCCTTCTCTCAATTGCCATGACTTTTCTACCAGTTCGCTCACTTACCAAAAAACGGTCATATTCCATTGCAATGGCATCCCATTTTGATTATAAGATTGAGAGTGCCTAGCATGGCCTTTAGGATCTGGCTTCTGCCTGTGTCTCTGACCTCTTCTTTTCTTTACAACCTTTCCCGATTCAAAATTACTAGCCATGTGGATGTTTTTTTACTGCTTCATAGTGTAAGAATATATTCAACCTAGATAAGATTTCCTGATAATGTGCATTGAAAATCATGAAAGTCATATGGCTTTATTTCTAAGCCACAAACCACAAAACTCCTTGATATCTCAAAGCATTTTCTTTAAGTCTTCTTTATGTAGTCTTTCAAGTGACTTTTTATACAGTTCCTTCTCATTAATCAGGTCTCAAGTCAGATGGACTTCTTAAGAGACCTTCACTTTATATTTATATTTTCTGTCTTAATAGTGTGTGCTAACTTCATGATAGAATTTGGTTATTACTAAAATTATCTTGGATAATAATGTGGGCTCTAGACTCAGTCTACCAGATTGCAAACATTGGACTCCCCACCTACTTGCTGGTGGGAAAATTATGCTCCCCACCTGGAAAAATTATGCTCTCTCTTCTTTTTTTTCTGTAAATGGGATAAAACTTCAAAGGGTAGTTGCAAAAGTTAAGTGACTTAAACCTAAAGTTCATAGACCCATGCCTAGCTAGTCATTATTTATTGTAGATACAATAGAATCAACACTAATTTATAGCTCTTGAAATGCAAATTTGTTTAGTGTGTCTACTTTTGTAACTACCATTTCTAGAATACAGTCTGGTACCTGTCAGTAGTATTAGCTGATTAATGTCCTGGAAATGACACCCCTGATTAAAGAAATTCAAATTCCAATTTTTTTTAATGAGAAAAGAATTATTTTACCATTCTGCCTTTGACTCTTTTTGAAAGTTCTTAAATGTCAAGTAATCTACCCTTGAACTGCAGGCTTCAGTTACTGAGATCTGAATACATTGGAAGTTTCAAGTCCTAAAAAGAAGAATTGTCCTGAAGCAGATCACAGGGAATCTTCACCTCGAGCCATGGAGATGCTTTTAGGGGCAAATGCACCAGATTTAGATAGGAATTGGATCTATTTGCCAGATTACCTGGGTGATAAACTAAGGAGAAGTCCCGTGGAAGTGACCCAAAAATGTAGGAGGAGCTTACTCAGGTAGATTCCTAGGTTGGAAATGACTGATGCCTTCCAGTGCTTAGGCATTACTGGAAAATTAGACAGAATTTGCCCTGCTTGTAAGAAGCACTAGATCACATTAGTATATTCATCTTGTTTTCTGGTGGAGAAATAAAAAATGGAAAAAGTCAAAGTTTGCCTATTTCTTAAATATTGTTTATGTAAATTGAATAGTTCAGAATTGGATACAATTGACAGCACCCCATTTTCAGATTGTTGCTAAAATTGTCATTAGAAGACCATTTATCATATTTATTAATTTTCACTCATAAGGGGCCTCCCCGGTGGCACAGCAGTTGAGCGCTGGGTTGCGAAGCTGCCTGCAGCTTCTGCAGTGCCAGTTCCATCCCCTGCTGCCAGGGAGGGTCCCAAATGGTGCACAGACCTCTCCTGCTGCCCACTGCTCCCCTCAGCAGTGTATTTTGTCAGTCTGCCTGTTCTGCTACTCGCTCTGGCTCTGGTGAATTCTCTCACCCTCCTGCACTTCTGACTGTACCCAGTGCTTGTATAAATAAATAAATAAAATTTAAAAATATATGCTTTCACGCATTAGAAAATCTTTTCTAAGTTGAATATATTCTTTTTTTAAAATATTTATTTATTTATTTATACAAGAGCTGAGGTACAGGCCAGATGCGCAGGAGGTAAGAGGGTTCACCAGAGACAGAGTGAGGAACAGAACAGGCAGACTGCTGAGGGGAGCAGCAGGCAAGACAGGAGAGGTCTGCCCCGCCATGTGGGATCCTCCCTGTGGGCTGGGATTGAACCAGCACTGCAGAAGCTGCAGATAGCTTCACAGTATGGCGCTCAACTGCCTGCAACACCAGGGGAGGCCCTAAATTGAGTATATTCTTATAGATTATGAAGCAGCTGGGACTTTTGAGACCTCTTACTTTCTATTGCTTGCCTCAAATAAATGGTCTTAAATCAGAGTTTCATGATACATGCACACAAAGAAACTAAATCTACTATTCCACTTTATGAAACTGTATGTTCACTATGCTTGTACACTTTAACAAGTGTCATAAGTAATATGTTTGGCTTTTAGCAGCCCCACCCCATTTCGGCTGTGGCATCTGTTTAGAGTGTCAGAGTATAAATTTAGACACACATATATAGACCCAGGTCATCTTTCCACCAGCTGATTTGTTACAAATTTCTAAGCCAAAGATACGCTTGTTGGAAGATCTTTCAACACAAAATAATATAGAGGTATGTATCTGATTCTTCTGTAAATTTTGGCATCTAAATAAAATGTGAAGCAACTGGGTTATGTAAGGACTACAATATTAATAGTCATATTACATAAAGTTTTTTGAGTTATGAAAGCTTAGTGCATTATGAAATGAAATTACTCTTTATGTTTTATAATAACATTTTCTTCAACTGAGAAAGTTATATTATTAAATTTTAAGTTCTTTAAATTATAAATTGTTAAAAAATTGAACACTGGCCTGCTCCTGATATTAGTTTACATAATTCATAGCTAATTTTATACATACCAGTAATGAAAAATCTTGATTTATTAAATCAGATGTATAAATTGTTGGATCTAATTTTAGAAAGCTTTCTGTATTTTTACTGAACTGAAATAATTTGATGTATTTGACAATTTTTGTTTGAATGTTTCTGATTAAGGAGGCTCTTAGAACTAAGGCTGTGTAATTTTATTTGAAATTTATTACAAGAATTATTCAATAAGCTATTGTAATTATATGGATTACTCCTAGTGATTCTTAAATTCACTCTTTGGAAATAAAAATTTTTCAAACTAAAAGATTAGAATGTTGAGCTGAATAATCATATTTCTTCAATTGAAAAGATTCCCTACTCCATTTTCTAATCTTTATCTGAAGAATTACTATTAGCTAGCTACCACCTTCTTCCCCCACTTTTTTCTCCAATCAAATTTTCTTCTTCCCTCTGGTGTTTTAGCCATTAGCTCTAAATCAAGATCATGTACTTTTCTCCCAGGAGTAAGCAGAAAATACATAGAGCGTGTATAGAAAGAAAGATTCTGTCCCACTGGCAGAATTAAGCCTTTCTTCCTAGGACTGAGCCAGAAGCCCAGGTACAGCAGGCAGAGCAAGAGAAAAAAGAAATGTTCCAAAAACTCTTTTTTTTTTTTTTTTTTTTAAGATTTATCTATTTATCCACACAAGCATTGGGTACAGTCAGAAGTGCGGGAAGGTGAGAGAACCCACCAGAGCCAAAGCAGGGAACAGAAAAACAGAAAACAGAAAAAAGAAAAACAGACTGACAAAATACACTGCTGAGGGGAGCAGTGAGCACAGCAGGAGAGGTCTGTGCGCCATGTGGGACCTGGCGCTGCAGAGGCTGCGGGGCTGCTCAACCCTCGCGCCACCAGGGGAGGCCCCCAAATACTTTTTAAGAATTGGAAATTAGAACAGGAAAGTGGTGCGTATGGTGTTTTTGTTTGTTTAATATCATCAGAAGCCTTCTGATTTCTGGCTTTGCAACAAGAGTATACACTGGCTTTGCACATACTCAGTGCTTAAAGTGAGGAACTAATACTGTTCAAAGGAAAACCTTCAGTATGTATACTGAAAATTTTTCAACTTTACCTCTTAAATTGCTGAGAATAAGGTATTTGAAGAAGAATGTTAAAATCAACTTAGTAAAAGTCATAAGCCCTCCTGAGTGAAAACTTCCAAAAAGTTCATTGATGATAGACTTTTTACCCCCCGTGGTGCAAGGGGCTAAGACGCAACCAAGGGGCTGTCCACAGCCACTGCAGCGCAGATTTTATCCTCAGCCAGGGAGATGGCCGCGTGGCGCAGGGGACCTCTCCTGTCTAGACGCTGTTCACCTCAGCAGTGTATTTAAGTTGATCTGCCTGTTCTGCTCCCCATTCTGTCTCTGGTGGATCCTCTCGCTTCCCACACCTCTGGCCTGTACCCCAGTTCTTGTACGGGTAAATAGATAAATCTTAAAAAAAAAAAAGATGATGCACATTTTTAAAAAGTGACTTTCTGGCATATATTTGCATACACTCCCCTAGTATTTACCTCAACCAAAGAACATCTCATTCTCGGGTAGGAATCCATATACAATCACATATTAAATTTGTAAATATCACAATTCAATTCAAATTTGTAAATATCACAAAAGAAGTTCTTTAAAAAAAAAAAAAAAAACACTCTTGGGCCTCCCCAGTGGCGCAGCGGTTGAGCCCTGGGCTGCGAAGCTGCCTGCAGCCTCTGCAGCGCCGGTTCAATCCCCCGCCCGCAGCAAGGGTCCCACATGGCACGCAGACCTCTCCTGCCGCACCTGCTGCTCCCCTCAGCAGTGTATTTACTTGGTCTGCCTGTTCTGCTCCAGGCTCTGGCTTTGGTGAATCCTCTCACCCTCCCGTGCTTCTGACTGTACCCCAGTGCTTGTATAAATAAATAAATCTTAAAACAAACAAACACTCTTGTTTTTCAGGATGTCAAACTTGGGACAATATGACTCTGATTTTTACCAATCTAATTACACCATTGATAATCAGGAGCAGAGCCATAATGATCCTAATGTCTATGGAAGTCTTCATGGATGCAGAATGTAAGTACTTTACATTGAGAAAATGTGTTATAGTTTAAGAAAGCATAATATTATGTCAAGGGGTTTCGAGTGGAGAAATTTCCTTAGGGGAAACCAAAGCTCCCCATAACATGTCTCAGTAAAGTACCCAAGAAAAAATCTCAGAAAAGAGCTGAGGAATTATTTCAGTTTTATCAACTCACACCCACATAAAGGTGAATCTTCTCCTCTTTTCAAAAGATCACTTACAGTAGCCTAAATTCAGACAGAAAGCATTTTTTACCTGATATTTTCTAAGACACTGCCCTAGAAACAGATTTTATTTAATTTAGTAAACATTTATTGATTGCTTGTTGTGTGTCAGGAATTAAGAAGGACCCTCAAACCCAAGATAAAGGAAATATCCATACTCTTTTTAGTCCAAAATTTAAGAGTTTATGTTAGAGAGATGGGCAATTAATTATGCAATTATAACACAGAGTGATAACTCCTAAATGAAATGAAGACAAGCATATTTCACAAATGTTTGAAGTTTACTTTTAAAGCGCAGATAAGTACCTTAAAAGCCCCAGATGGAAGTAGACAAAGACAAATAAATACCACAGGCAGTGGGTCCTTTGTTCCAGTTGTTCCGAGGGCAATTTGGACACTGTTGTCACTGGCTGATCAGACTGACAGTGACAGGAAGACAGATGCTGCTTTCACAAGCTGCCCTCTAGCTTGTATTGCTGAGCCACTGCTCCAAGGAGGTAGAGAAATGTGTTGGTATCTAAGTTTTTAAAGCTAATAAAGTTAAATACCTGGAATCTTATTTCATTCATGCACTTATTCTATGTTGTTCAGTATCAATCAGGCTGCCATAAGAATTTATGAAAAACAATCTATACCTATACCTTTCTCTATCTATTGTCTGTCTACCTACCTACCTACCTACCTACCTGCCTATGTATTTATTAATCAATCATCTATCAAATGTTATCACTAGGCAAATAGAAGTGATTTTAAAAATAAAAGAAAGGGCCTCCCTGGTGGCACAAGGGGCTGAGCACCACACTATGAAGCAATCCTCAGCCTCTGCAGCATGAGTTCAATCCCCGGCCATCCAGGGAGCTACCTACATGGCGCAGCAGGCCTCTCCTGTCTCACCCACTGCTCCCCTCAGCAGTGTATTTCAGTCAGTCTGCCTGTTCTGTTCCCCACTCTGTCTATGGTGAATCCTCTCATCCCCCACATCTCTGGCCTGTACCGCAGCTCTTGTATGCATAAATAAATAAATCTTTAAAAAATTTTTAAAAAATGATGGGAAAAGATAAAACTGTGAAATTGGCTTATCACTGCAGACAAGAAACAGGTTTAAGTGACTGGTTCCCTTCAGTTATATAGGTGAACAGCTGAAAATCCTGTTAGATAGCTCTCATTGTGGGCTATATATTTTGTATTACTGTTCAACAATATCTTTAATGATCAAGCTACTACCTCAAACACTTTTTTTTGTTGTTTGCACTTGACCTTCCAAAGTAAAATTGGATTGTATCAGTTGATGGCCTAGCCTGCTTCAGACATTTAGTATTTAAATGTAATTCCTAATTTAGATGTGGTAACATTTAAATTTCAACCCATACCACAAGTCTCAGGAATTAGAAGAGGATATATTAGCTGTGGTAGTTTTATGAGGTGCTGTTGACATCTAGTGAGTCCTGGACCTGGGACATGACGGTGAGGGAAATCAGACATGGGGGACTGTCATGTCCAGCATGCAGTGAATCTTTATTGTCTTAGTGCTCATTATATACTTTCTCTGAGTGCATTAGGCATAACATCAAAGTGCACCATACAGTGACAGCTTAAATGATTAACTGTTTTACTTTGCTACTGATATCTGCCTACTCCCAACTTCTGGGTGCCAGGTGGTCAGCTCCTATATGTAATCTCATTGCTCATTAGCTAGAGCACGTAATCTAATCATCCACTAGCAAGAGCAGAGAAGTTTTGTTCTTGATTGGTTTTTGGCTGTGGAGATACTGAGGCATTACTCTTCACAGGTCACTTTCTGGGCACTCAACACCAGGTCTGGTCACTCAGAGGTTTTCCTCCGAGATGCATATGTTTTTGCATGCCTTAGAGACTCAGGTCAAGGCCCTTCTGCTCACTGCGTGGGGTCTCTCCCAACAAGGCACATGAAACAAAGTCAGGTCAATGATTTACTAGTATAGATCAGACAAACTCCAGATATTTGATCTTTTATTCATACAGTGAATACTCAATTAAAATATACACCAAGTCAAAATGAGATGCTGGTCATCCTGGTAAAAGACATGTGAATTAGAGAATAGTTCTAATCATTTACTCTCCTTCTGCCTCTGTCCCATCTCCAAATAGATGGGAATGCATGGAAACCTGTTTTAAAAGCTTGCTTAGCTCAATGGCATACTGACATGAAACTTGGTTGACTATACTTAGTAAGAAAATAAAGATATTTATGTTTAAAGAATAAGTTTTTTACTTTAAAATTAATAAGAAGGGGCATTCTCATCCTAATATCTCAAAAAGTTCCCAAAACCTTAATAATCCAGACTTTCAGATAGGAATTATTTCTAATCACTGATAGTCAGTTAACTAGTCTATATTTTCCCACTATTTGTTTCTGGCTTTTGAAATGAGAAATCTGTAAATTGTTGGGGGCAAGAAACAGATATTTTTGTAGAAAGGTGATAACTGGAAAACTCCCCTTGAATGTAGAGAGTAATATTTTATATTATTTTCTAGATTTTTTTAAATGGAGGTAGCATTAGTTTTTAACACTGTGTATCATTCAGAGGTATGTTTTAGTGAGCTTTCATATTTATTTATTCATACAAGAGCTGGGGTATAGGCCGGAAGTGCAAGGGGTGGTGAGAGGATTCACCAGAGACAGAGTAGGGAGCAGAACAGGCGGATTGACTGAAATACACTGCTCAGGGGAGCAGCTGATGAGACAGGAGACGTCTGCTGTGCCATGTGGGTTAGCTCACTGGCTGGGATTGAACTCCTGCTGCAGTGGCTGCTGCAGACTTAACCCCTCGTGCCACCTGAGTGTCCCTCACCCATTTTTCTTCCTTTCTTTCTCTGGCTCAATTTTTTTATTTTTTTTTTTTTCACAAAGATTGTGACTCTTCATCTTTCTCACACATATCATAAAATAAAAATCAAACAAAAGCATGGTCAAAGAAGTATTGAAACGTCATGTTTCCACAACAGTACATTGCATATTTCCAAGGATGCATGCTAGAGCTAATGACAGACTACGTTTCGTTAGGTAAGGCAATCAAAGACAATTCTATTGATAATAATTGTCTGGGGATGATCAGAATTGGAAAGTCTATTTGATCACCAATCAGCTTATATATTATTTTTTTTAAGAGGCATGTTTTTATTTATTTATTTGTTTGTTTGTTTGTTTGTTTATACATGCACTGGGAACAGTCAGAAGCGCGGGAGGGTGAGAGAATTCACCAGAGCCAGAGCGGGGAGCAGAGCAGGCAGAAGGACCGAAGTACACTGCTGAGGGGAGCAGTGGGCGGCAGGAGAGGTCTGCTCTCCATGTGGGACCCTCCTCCGGTGGCCGGGGAGCAGCCGGGGATCGAACTGGCACCGCAGAGGTCGTGGGCAGCCTCACAACCTAGTGCTCAACCGCTGCGCCAACGGGGAGGCCCTATGTATTAATTTTTTCCTATGAATGGACTATACTGTTAAAATGTCTTTGAGGCCCTTAGGTTGTGTCCATATCTTGGCTATTGTAAATAGTGCTGCTATGAACATGGAAGTACAGGTTTCCTTTTGAATTAATATTTTTGTATTTTGTGGGTAGATACTTAAGAGTGGGGTTGCTGGAACATATAGAAGGTACATTTTTAGTCTATATGTTCTGGAACATATAGAAGGTATATTTTTAGTTTGCAGCTGTGCTGCACACAGCTTTCTGTAGGGGCTTGACCAGTCTACATTCCCAACAATTGTGTAACAGGGTTTCTTTCTCTACACCTTCTCCAGCACTTGTTGTTTCTCATCTTTTTGATATGGGCCACTCTCACTGATATGAGTGACATCTCTCTGTGGTTTTGATTGGTGTTTCCCTGATGACAAGTGATGAGAAACATTTTTTCATGTGCCTGTTGGACATTTGTGTATATTCTCTGGATAAGTGACTGTTTAACTCTTCTGCCCATTTTTAACTGGGTTATTTGTTTTTTTTTTTTTTTTCTAGTGAGTTGTAGAAGCTCTTTATAGATCTTCAGTGTCAGTCACTTGTCAGATTTATGGTATACAAATCTTTTCTCCCATTCAGTGTCTTCAAAGAGACATCGTACTGTCTCTTTCACTATGAAGAACATTTTAATTGAATGTAAAACCTAAGCGCCCAAAAAATAGGCAAATGGATCGAGAAGATGTAATATATGTTCATAATGGAGTACTATTCAGCAATCAAAAAAGATAAACTCATTTTATTTTCAGCAACAGTGATGGCACTGAAAAGGCTTATACTAAGTGAAGTAAGCCAAAAGGAGAAAGATAAATACTGAATGATCTCACTTGTATGTAGAATGTAGAGAAACCAAGCAAGGATTCGACAAATACAAACTTTAAAACCAACTCTTGAAAACTGATCAAAGAGGGGAAGGAGAACGGAAAAAGTAGGGGTGAGAATGGTGGGGGGAGGAACTTTAAGAGGGGGAAGAACAAAATGGACTGTGGAGAACTATGGGTGTTTCGGTGGTAGTCATAGTAACCGCTCCTGAGGGGAGAAATCCTACGCTGTCAAAATATTAACAAAGATGTGAAACAATAACAAAAACATCGCCTCTGAATGAGAAAAATAAATAACAGTGTATTTTGAACTTTAAAGATAAATAAGTTGAGGGAATTTGACCTGAAATAAAACGCAAGTATTTAAAAAACTTAAATAAATATAAAATTGTAGTTTGCATGTGCTGCTTCCACAGATTTGTAGAGACTGTCCTGTTTTGTGATTTTCCATGAAAATCAGTGATAAAGCAGCATCTGTGCAGGGCGCAGGGCTCTGGAGAGACAACTTCTGTTCCCAGTGCAACACCAAAAGCGTTTTATGCTGCTGGCCAGACATTCTGTTTCCATGCTTCTTTATTTCTCTTTCTGTAAAATAGGATTAAAAACTACAGTTTTTTCCTTGTAGATTTTTCATTATATGACAAAATGTGTGGGGAAGTATTCAGCACAATGTACATGATCGGGAAATATAGGTTGATGTGAATCATTACTCTGAAAGTTTTTTTATGAATGACTACTTCCTTTTTTATTATTAAACACGAGGCAAGTTCTATCTTTCATTAGTAAAAACTCATAAAAACTAGAAGAATTCATAAAAACAAAATGATAGTTTCTGTCATTGTCCTTTCTTAGATGTCTAATAGCAGTATTTTCCTTTTTCTAGTCAACAAGCTGGTGAGCAGCCTCAGTCTGCCTCTTTTGTGCCACCAGAGATGCTCATGGCAACAGATTACACAGGACAATTTCTTCAACCAGCGTCCAACCCAGATTATTATTCACAATCTCCTTACATTGACAGTTTTGATGGAGAGCCTCCGTTACTAGAAGATAAGTTAAGGAAGTACTGTTAATATGTGTACAGCTCAAATAATAATAGCAAGAATCAGCACTTAATGTGTGCTGTCAGCATGCTGTGAGCAGTGTTTGTGTGTGTGTGTGTGTGTGTGATTGTTTCACACACAAGAGGCTGCCAAACCAAAACCCTTAAACCACTGGAAGCCTGTTGTGTGTGTGTGCTGGTGTGGACAGGTGGTGGTGGTGGTGGAGGAGGTGGATTGGCAGTAGATAGATGCTATTGCTGCAGTTGTTAAATTGTTTTCTTTTTTTTTTTTAAACAAAATACACATTTATTTGTTGACTTTGCAATAAGATTAAATCATTGAGGGGTACATCATCATGCACATTCTATGTGCTATGGCTTTAGCAGAAGTTTCCTTCAGAATTTTGGGTGCCACTGTTTCCATCAGCTCAATTTACCATTCCCCAGATTACTTCCTTTGCTTTGTGTGCATAAACACATCTCTTGCCTGGATAGAATTAAGCTTCAGCTTGAGCCTACACACCTTCAATTTTAAGAAGAGCAGTGTGTTTTCGAAGAGCAGTGTGTTTTCACTGGTTCCAGAGACCCTAGTTGTAGCAAACAAGGCCTTGGACCACAAACTTTGGCCCTGTTTTAGAAGTCCTAGTTTCAGCAGACCTTCACAGGCTCTAAGTGGCTCTTCATTGTTTCTTAAACTTGGACTCCATGATCCTGTGTAGACAACAGTGAAGACCTCTTTTGACAGAGTGCTTATAACAGCCCCCCCCCCTTTTTTCCCACAAAAAGAGCAGTCTTAATTTAATGTTTGTTGTCTTGAAAACAGCCAATATTTTTTTTCTTCCTTGATTTATTTTGGCCCTCTCATGTTAGCTGGGTATGAATAAAAGGGAAGGAATATGATCTGAATCACAGTAAATAGCACAACCGATAACATGGAAACTCCAGGACCCTTGCAATTATAGCTCCTTCAGGGATTTTTTCAAGCTATTCCTTTCATTGATTTTTTTTTTTTTTAATCGAGGCACTCTACATCTGCTGCCTTTTCTCTCTCTCTCTCTCTCTCTTTTTTTTTTTTAAGATTTAGTTATTTATTTATACAAGCACTGGGTACAGTCAGAAGCGCGAGAGGGCAAGAGAACTCACCGAGCCAGAGCGGGGAGCAGAGCAGGCAGAAGGACCGAAGTAGCAGCGGGCGGCAGGAGAGGTCTGCGTGCCATGTGGGACTCTCGCCGGTGTCGGGGAGCAGCCGGGGATCCAACTGGCGCTGCAGAGGCTGCGGGCAGCCTCGCAACCCAGCGCTCAATCGCTGCGCCACCGGGGAGGCTCTGCTGCCTTTTCTCTTAAGGAATATTAAGATGATTCTCGAAGCATAGGTGCAAGAAAACAAAAACTTAAATAGAATTATGTTTAAGAGCAAAGAAAAAAACATCCACAGATTAATTAAACCAAACCCTTTACATCCAGTCAAGTGAAAAGTGGTGGATTAAAATTCCCAATATTTTACATCAAAATATCATTATTTACCTCATAGGAACACAGTCTGGCAATTGGAATTGAAACACTTCTTTGCCTCAAAATTTAAAAAGTGGAAGATTTTTTTGGCACTTTAGAAACCAATAAAGTTTTAAAATTGGTTATGTTTAACCAATTCGTTCACTTTTGTCTGTGCAATTAATCAACACTTGAAAGTTATAAGCTATTTTCATTAAACATTTTCTTGACTCCACCAACATCTCTGTACTTTTGTAGAACAATTCATTGTCTAATTATAAACGTCATCTATATTCAACACAGAAACATGAATAAAAATTTAAATATCATCTAAAATTTTATCTCCGAGACATGACTACAATTAACAAGTTGATATATTTTCTTCCAAACTGTACACATAGACAACTTGCCTATGCACTTAAAAATGAAGTTTTATATTACTGCGAATATGAATTTATTTATGAATACTTAAAATGAATGTTTGTTTATAGTATAAACAGAGAATTTTATTTTTAAAGTTATATCATGAGCACATCTGTGTCATTAAATATTATTTGAAAACATGCGTAATGGCATCATAATATTTTAATATATAAAAGTTAATTGAAACTCACTATTACCATAATAATATCTTTGATCTATTTAGAGTCTGCCCTTAGATCCATAACAGTGAGATTTCTGGGTCAAAAGTATCTACACTGTCAGACTTACGTAGAAAAAAGATGATCCACTATATCTTCAAGGAGGAAGATGTGATGTTTTTGTTAATTTCATAGGCAAACTGTAATACTTTGTATTTCTTGATTAACAAAAATTTTTTTCATATGTTTATCAGTTGTTTTCATGACTATCTTTTACATTCTTTGTCGGATTTCCTGTGGTATCTTAAGATTTTCTTTCTCTTATTTACAGACATATTTCTTTCCGTGGAGATATTAACTACTGTCTGGAATATGTAATTCAACGTTTTCCCCCTAGATTATGTTTGCCATCTGATTTACATATGGACTTTAAGGCATATAGAAATTTTTGTACTTATGTTTTTGACTTCACAGTATTTTTCTCAGTAACTTTTCTTTCCAAATGTTCTTTTAGAATATACTTTTCCAGCTCTAGTTTATAGCTTATATCCTCCTGCGGGTTCTTAAATTTTTAAAGTACTTTTTTGTTTTGCACTTAAGTATTATTTTAGGTTAATATGAAAAATAGGAATGTAAATTTATTTTTTACTTATTAACTGATTTTTCTGTGACACTTACTGAAAATGGTTTTTCTTCTCTTTTACTTATCTGAAATGTTTCTATTTTGGTATTCTAAGTGCTAATACAGCCTCCTCCAAAATTTAAATAGGAAATATATAGATTTCCTTCTCACTTTATACAGCTTAGAGAAGATTTCCAGGTTGTTTTTTTCTTTTTGTGATTTTTTTCCCTGCCAAATGTATAGTTTATTAGAAAAGAGAGGATCTAATGTAATTTTGCATTTTGCAGTTATGAAATTTCCAGACTCTTATCCAATATGTTTTTCAGGCTGGGTGACTTTGTGAAAGCCTCCAGTATCATCTGTCTAAAAGATATGAAAAAGCTGTAAGCAGGATTTCTAGGATAAGATATGATAAATGACATTTGCTAGTTTTTACTGAGCATACACCAAAGCAGCCTATAAAATCATGAAGCTATAATAATGGCTCATGCACAAAACATGTCACTGAAAATGTGCTTGTTTATATCTTAAATACTTTGTTTAATAAAATACTTATTTGATTTTATGTAAAAATGAAAACTTTGATAATGTGCAATCTATATATTAACAAATAGATCTTGAAAAACAATAGTCTATTCAAATCTGTAAGACCAGAGAAATGATTAGGATATTTGGCATTTGTATTTGAGGTATAGCCTGATGTTTATATTTTGAAAGGCCAGTGCCATAATTTGCATAGAAAACAAATGTACTTTATAGCATATGTATCATATACTTTACTGCCACTAGATGACAGCAAAACAATAAATTCTACATTTAAATTTCATAGCAGTTGTATCTTATTTTATCTCTATAAAATAGAGATAAAAGGTGTCAAATTAGACTATTTACAATTAATAAATACTTATAATCTCATTTACATACTTTATAATAAATTTTAAAACAAAATTTATGGAGGTATATTTTGATAGAAAACATAAGATCTTTTTCTTATGAAACTGTTTAGTAGATGTTATGTTCTTCACTGGTTCATGACTCAATGTTGAAACATGCAGAAGTTAATTATGCTGTAAAATAATTGATGAAATCAGTAATAATATCTCACAAGGAATTTTTCATCTGAGTTTCTTGAGGAATAATGGCCATACCTTTTGAGGAAAAAAGGTATTTTGAATAAATGCCCACTTTATGGTGGTAAATACTAAAAACATTGCTAACATAAATGTTTAAATGGAAAATTAAGATTAAAAAACAACAATGAGCCATTAATGAAATCCATTTAAACTGTAGCATTTTCAATTTTTAAAATCACCTGCAATTTAAAAAATTGCATAAAACATTCAAACCCCATTTTAAACATGGGGAACTGTTTGTATTGTTCAAAGTATATGTTCATTAAGAAATTTATAAATATTTTGGAAATAAAAAGGATGTAACATGAAAGTTGAAATGTAAAGGATTTTTTTTTATTTTTAATTCAGCCAATCCAATTTATTGTCAGTCTGGATGTGAAATAAACTCAAGAATATACTTTCCTAGTTCAGAACAATGTCTGGCTGACTTTCTGAAAATGTCAAGGTCCCTGCTAGAGTAAGGTCACTCTATGTCATGGGATCATTAAAAGCCCACCTGGTATTCTGTGTGTGGAATGTCAGTTTTGCAAGGTATTTAGATAGTATGTGCCACTGTAAAAGAAGCTGAACTATGCTTTGCATTTGACCACAGAGGATTGCTTCATCTAGGACACATGCAAATGATTTAAGGAGACATTCCTCCATTGAGGAGAATTGGGCTCAATTAAATTAAAAAAAATTATGAGATTAGATTAAATATGTATTGACTTGACCACAGCTGTAAGAGTAAAAGGATGAGTTCTTTTTTTTTTCCAACCCTTTCACAACCTTTTCCTTTTTTCCCTATCCCAGTCCCTAACAAACACTTTTCAACTTTCTGTGTCTATGAGTTTCTTTATATTTTATATGCCACATGCAAGTGATACCATGTAGTATTTGTCCATCTCTGTTACTTTCCTGAGCATAATGCCCTCCAAGTCCATCCATGTTGTTACAAATGATATAATTTCCTTCTTTCTGATAACTGAATAATACTCCATTCTATATTATGCACCAAATCTTTATCCATTTATCCTTTTATAAGCACTTATTTCCCCCATAGTTGGCTATTGTGAATAATGCGTAATGAACATGGGAGTGATAGCCTGTTTTCATTCCCTTTGGCTATACATATGCAGTTGTAGAATTGCTGGATCATATGGTAGTTCAATTTTAAATTTTGTGATGAATCACAGTACTGTTTTCCTTAGTGGCTGCATGAACTTACCTTACTGCCAACAGTACACAAGGATTCCCTTTTCTTGATGTCCTTGTTAATGTTATCTCGTGTGTGTGTGTGTGTGTGTGTGCGCGTGTGTGTGTGTGCGTGTGTGTTTGATGATAATAACCTTTCTGACAGGTGTCAGGTCATATCTCACTGTGGTCTTGGTATGCATTTTCCTGATTATTAATGACGTTACCACCTTTTTATGTCCTACTGGCAGTTTATACATCCTCTTTTGAAAATGTCAATGAAGAAAGCTATCCTGCCTATTTTGAAAGCATGAGTTCTTGATTTAGACTGTCCAGTGCCAGTATCTTATCTAGATTTTCTGTTATTACCTTTGTGACTTTGAACAAGCTTACTTAATCTGTCAAAACCTCAGTCATTTCATGCATAACATAGCAATACAGTAGCAACACGAACCTCTTTGTTTGTTTGTATGATCAACATACGAAAATCCTGTGAGACTCACTATAAAATTCAGTAAAACATTCAGTGAAGAACACTTTTTTTTTAATTTAAATGCATATACTTTATTGTAAATTATCTCCAGTGTTTTCTACCTTTTCTCTCACTGTTTCTGAAACTTATAGTGGTAGAAGAGGGTAACCAGTTTGATTACTGGTTCTTAAACAGTGAAGCTATGTTCTTCTCCTTTGAAATGTCTTTTTTTCTACTCAAGATACATCTTAAAGTTCATCTTCCTATTAGTGGTAAGAAAAGAAACTGATGTGGCATCAATATTCCTTTCTATAGTCATATAGTAAATCATATAACATAATCAGATACAATTGGATGAATGTCATTTGACTAGCATTTTATTTATTAAAAAAAGATGTAAGAGATGCAAGATCTAGCAGAAGCGTCTGGGAGTGTACAAAATTCTTTGGAAAACAAGGCATTGGAGAAAAAAATAGAAATTTCTAAATGAGTTTGCACTCATTGGCACTTAATCCGACTGATTGTGCATATTTTGTTCTCCACCACTACTCATAAAAGGGAAAGGTTAACTTGCCTCAAGAATTTAATCATTGAATACACAGACTCAGACACATAGAGCAGTGACCTTATTAAAATATGCGTGCACAGAATAATTACTTTTTCTTGCTTTCTTTCCCTGTGGAGTTTTAGTCAGTTAACGTAGAACTGCTTTCCTCATCAGAGAGGGCAGAAGTAAAATCCCACATCAGGGCTAAATATCTTTAGTTTAGATAATACTAATCATGGAAAAAATCTGCCATATTCTCAAAATATGACAATACATCAAACGTTTTATAAATGGAATATACAGGAAAAAGAAATAATGGATAAGAAGACGTTTTAGTTCATGGCTATAATTTTAATTTTTATATGGACTGTCCATTTCCTATTATGTACTAGATTTCACACTTCTATTTGCAGCATAAAGCAGAGGATCTTTTCCCTGACAGAATCATTTCTCTAAAATATTTCTTTTAATTTATTGGAAACAAAATTTATTTTGTTTGTTTTTTTTTTAAGGTTACTGCACATTACATAGACCTCTAGTTTATCATCGTCTAACAACCAGATTAAAGTACTAAATAAATTAACCAGCTATGATAACCTTTTATTAAATAAAATTACTCATTTAATTTTTTATATTTATGTTGTCTCTTCTTTTTTTTTTCTTTTTGCAGAACTTGGAATTAATTTTGATCACATATGGCAAAAAACCTTGACAGTATTAAACCCACTGAAGCCAGCAGATGGCAGCATTATGAATGAAACTGACCTAACTGGACCCATTTTGTTTTGCATCGCCCTGGGAGCCACTCTGCTTCTGGTAAGTGTCAGCAGCAAGCACAAGATTTTAGTGTGTGTTCTTTCTAATGCCATTTTTGAAGATATCTTTGTAATACAGAAGAAGGCATACCACTTTGTAAAGCGAAAATTGTTCAATTTAAACTGCACTACCACAGATAGAAATATAAATTTAAATAAACTTTTTTAAAATCAAGTCAAATTTTCAGAAAATCTGGAGATAATTTATCAACAGTTTGTAGATAACACACTGTAAATATGAAAAATTGAGGCAACACATGGATTTGGGCACTATAAACTATTTTATTTCTTATTTCTGTGAAATTTCTATAATGACATTGGACAAATTCTTTCTCTTTGTGTCTCTTTGCTGGGATGTATTTCCAGAGTTTTTCATATCCTATGAAATATGAGATTGTTCTCATATCTGGTTAGGCTGCTATGAATAAATTGACTTGTAATGATAACCTATGATATATTTATTCAACCTCTATGTTTCCACAATTATTTTTAGTCTTCTTTTCATGGAGGCATTTCCTCCTTCAACATTTATCTTGTACATGGACCTCTTTCATTCTTTAAATCTGGGAGTATTAATATTAAGAGTCACCAAAAAAAGTAAAGAAAAATATATATCCACCTAAGTACTTGAAAGATATTAAAGCTTATAGTTTAGGAAAAAACTATTCTTTATTTATAAAAGGAAAGAAATGAGAAAAAGCCTATGGTTTTATATGAAGGAGGAAGTGACAACAGAGGAGGAAAACCAGAGGATGAGAAGATAGTCAATTCAATCTGAAAAGTATAATTTCATTAAGCACAAGGAGATAATCTTGTCAGGAGAAATGATACATGAAATTAAAGAAGTTAGGAAAAGTACTTAAAATGACTATTTAGCCCACCTCCCCCTCTTATAACTACCTACTGCCTATAACAAAACTGGTATTTCCTAATGTGTTGCAATTTTCAAAAATAGCTGTAAAATGTATTTGAAATGAAATACATTTTCACCATTTGTTTATTAATTACATGATACCAGCCAAAATACTGATAGTAATCTAGTTTGTGCATGGTAATGTGGTCAATAATTATATCACATTTATCCAATGTAATAGTATTTAGTGATAACATCTAACTTCTTTTGTACCACAGAAATGCAAATACTCTATAAATTAAACATCAGCTAGAGCTTTAATTTAGTCTCTCATCTCCTGTCATTGTCACAATAATTTGATAATCTTAAATTAAACTGCTAAATAAGGTCATCTCAGTTAATCAAACATAAATAATCAATTTAATATATTAATTCATCTTTGTTTTTCAGGTGGTTTGTAATATAACAGTGGTTTGCTCTTCTGCAGACAATACTACCATTATTGTTCTTTAAAGGAAAGAATTAATGTCATTAATATCTATTTTGGGTATATGTGTTAGTTGGAATTATTTAAATACCCTCTCTTTTGTTTTGAGTATACAGTAACATAGGAAAAAATTAAACAGAAACCATGAAAAAATTGGATCAAGCCCTAATTTTGTTTCTGGCTGTCATCTTGAAACTTCTGTTTCATATTTCTAGGCCTTTATTTCTTCATTCTGAAGACAAAAAGTGTTTATTTAGTGGTTCTTAAGATTCCCACCAGTTCTGAAATTTTGGGGAATATGTGAAAATGCTAAATTTATAACTTCAATTATATCACTGGGTGTGGTTACTTCAGAATTGACTCTTACAAATCTAGAGCAACAAAGCAAGAAAAGCAACTGGGTATTAATGAATTTATATTTAACTCAGAATCCATTTGAAGCTAATTTAATCCTGCCTTGGATATCCAGATTTACAATGTAAAGGATAATGCTCCTGTATGCTATTATATGCATTGTACTTGAGAAAGCAAAACTAAATATAGCAACAATATCCAAAAATATGTTCATTATCTTGGAGTGTAAGTCATAGTCATATACACATCACATTTATGATTTATGTTAAAAAAGGCACAGACCTTTTAGTGATATTTCTTTATGTTGAAGGAGGCAAATAGAAACAATAGCTTTATACCAAATTACTTTTACTTATTTCCCTCTTGTAATTTTTTTTTTTTTTTACCCAGAAACAACAAAGACAAGTAGTTTAAAGCTATGAGTTTTTGTATTTTTTTCTGGTTAGTCTAAGAGTAACCTGGAAAAGGAACATGCATGAGCAACATTAAAGCATATAGTTAAAAGAATAATTCAAATTGAGATGTAGTAATGAGAGTGGTACAGAAAGAGCCTAAAAAATTTGAGGTTAAAAGAAATGGAACACTTATTTTCCATCTTGATTAGAGGCCCTTGTTAGAATTAGAAACAAATTAAAATGTGGCAGTTGCTCCAGCCAAATGGAATTACAAATTAAACTGGAGAAACTAACAAGGGAAAGAGATAAAGAAGGCGGTCTGTAATATGGAAAGGGACAATTTTACTACCAAATTAGTTTAATTTATCCCACCCCATTTGCAAAAATGCTTGCGGTCAGAAGGCCCAGCTTTGTATCTTTGGGCATAAGGGAGTTGCCTTTCACCATTAAAACTAACCCCAGCTCAGAATTATACCATCCAATTAAAATATTAAGTAGAATGTTACTCTAATAGATTTAAGTGGTTTGAAATTGTCCTATTTTCCAAGTAGAGCAAACTCACTCACCAGAGCAGTGTATTACTGATGTGTTTCTCTTAGCAGATCCATTAGCATTATTAGGATTAGTTCACAAAATAGCCATAAAAATACAAAGCTACTCAGTGAGGACTTATGGTTAATGCAGAAGAGAATTCAGTCAGTATAGCCCAGGGACATTTTGTGAAGGAAGTTAGTAGTAACTAACCTCCCCAACTGCAGAGGAAGAGGAATTAAAAATAGTTGGACAATTTAGAAGATTAAAATAGTGGTCACATTCTCCATTACCCTTAATTAATTGCAAAATAAATATCTCTTTATTCTTTAAGACAGAAGGGCTTCATGGATAATCATCGAGGAGATGGGGAAAAAATGACAGCCAAAAGCTCTCTCTCAGGATTAATTTATCAGATCCTTAGTTGCTTCTGTATAATTCCCATGAAAAAGATAACCTATTTAAACTTCATCTGGAGTTTCTAATCAGCTTAATTTAAATATAAAAACTGAATGCATTTTTTACTGAAGCTTTGGCATCCTCAGGTACCAAACATTAAAATATCCCTGTTGAATTAATAGTAGACTCTGACTTTGTCTGGATGAGTTTAGCGGGGCTCCTTCAGCGCCTACTTCCTAATACTTTGTTGCTGATGGTTAGTTTTATGAGTCTTCAGAAGTCTAGCAGACTGTGTCCTGAACTCTCGTCAACAAAGTCTCTTTTTAATGATTCATTAGTAGCTGGGTTATATAAATTAGCTTTTCCTAAGTTTGGTTCAGTTAAACTGGTATTAGACTTTATGAAAACAAAGGTGAGATTATTTTAGGACTTTTTCAAGCTTCTGCAGATGTTTGGTACCTAAATTACAGAGCCAGACTGCCTAGTCTCAGAGTGGAGTTCCAATTCATAGCATTATTTTACCTTAGACAAATTACTTCTCTGCACCACAGTTTCATCATGAGTAAATTGGCATAACATCGGTGCCTATCTCATAGGTTGTTATATGGATTGACCACGCTAATATATTTGAAAAGCTTAGAATTAAACCTAACATAGTAAATACTATGCATGTTTGCTAATATTGATAATATACCTGTAAATCTCCAAGACTAAATTGTATTTTTTGTTAATGTATCTTTTTGTTAAATTATTCAACAATTACAGGAAAATATATTCTTTTTTTTTAAGATTTATTTATTTATGCATACTAGGGCTGGGGTACAGGTCAGAGGTGTGGGGGGTGAGAGGATTCACCAGAGACAGAGTGGGGAACAGAACAGGCAGACTGACTGAAATACACTGGGAGCAGCGGGTGAGACAGGAGAGGTCTGTTGTGCCATGTGGGTTGCTCCCTGGGCAGCCAGTGATCCAACTCCTGCTACAAAGGCTGCTGACAGCTTCATAGGTTGCATCTTAACCCTTGCACCACCAGGGAGGCCCCAGGAAAATATATTCTTTCTTTTTATTTTTTTTAAAGATTATTTATTTACACAAGCACTGGGTACAGTCAGAAGCACAGGAGGGTGAGAGAATCCACCAGAGCCAGAGCGGATTGTAGAACAGGCAGACTGACGAAGTACACTGCTGAGGGGACCAATGGGAGGCAGGAGAGGTCTGCATGCCATGTGGGCCCCTCTCCGGCAGCTGGGGATCAAACCTGTGCCGCAGAGGCTGCAGGCAGCTTCGCAACCCAGCGCTCAACCGCTGCGCCACCTCTTTCTTTTTATTAAAACTGAATTATTTTGTATAGTGATAATGTTGATTTACAATACTGTGTATGATTTAATAGTGTAGGTTCACACCTATTTTGCCAACCACATGCATTTTACCAACCGCCATAACATCCATAAATCTCCACCATAGTCCACTGGACCCCTTCCCCCCTCCCCCTCTGGCTCCCCACTCTCCTCCTCTGGCAGCCTTTGTTCTACAGTCCAATTTTCTAGGGTTTGTTTGGCTTGGTTTCATTTGCTCCTTTGTTCTTTTATTCTGTATTCCACATATAAGTGAAATCATCCAGTATTTGTTTTTCTTCTGACTCATTTTGCCTAGCAAAATCCCCTTCAGTTTCATCCATGTTGTTACAAATGGCAAGATTCCATCTTATTTTTTTTATAGCTAAGTAGTATTCAATTTTGTATATAGACGCTACCTTCTTAATCCACTCATCTATTTTGGACCACTTATGTTGCTTCTGTAGCTTTTCTATCATAAATCATGCTGCAATGAATGCAGGATGCATGTTTTTCTTTGGATTAGTGTTTTTGCATTCCTTAGTTAGACACCTAAGAGTGGAATTGCTGGATCATGCGGTGGATCACTTTTACTATTTTGAGAAAGAGGAAATGTATTCTTATGCTTTGTTCCCCAATATATAATTTAGGATAAAAAGTGTAAGCCTAGAAGTATTTCATCATTTCTGTATCATGCTTGTGACATCCAAAGAATAATTGGATCCATTTTTGGTTTTGTTTTTAGCACCTGAATTCACATTATAGCACTGTTTTTTTTTTTTCCAGAATTCCCAGTCCCCTGATGATTGTACTACAAAGACGGGGAACAGCATAGAACCGCATCGATTCTAAAATGCTCTCTGTTCTGTTGACATTCCAATTTTCTCTTGATGTTTGTTGTGTAAACTGTTTTTTTCCCATCATTTCAGGCAGGAAAAATCCATTTTGGTTACGTGTATGGCATGAGTGCCATTGGCTGCTTTGGGATTCATGCCTTACTAAACTTGATGAGCTCTTCAGGGGTATCCTATGGCTGTGTGGCGAGTGTACTGGGTTACTGTTTGCTGCCCATGGTCATCCTGTCCAGCTGTGCCATCTTCTTTTCACTGCAGTAAGTGTCTCTATGTGCTGATTCACCCTAGCCCACTATCATGGTTAAGGTTTGCTCCACCTTGTTATTTCTTCACATTATTTTGGTGGTACAATTAGAGAACAATGGTTATTAAAAGCTACACATAAATTCAGGGAAGTAGGACAGTTTTGGCGCAGGTGCTGGTACTATTTCAATGATTTAAAAATGAATTAAACCAAGTTCTCTTTAACACCAGCACTTTGTAAGTTGTCACATTCTTCAATATGAACTATTGTCATGGGTAATAAAATAACTACAGAAAATTCACTTGTTTGATTTCGGAAGAGTAAGTGCCTGGTGAACACTGACAAATTGCTTCAGCTCCCAGGCATGCTGCTTTCCAGGCAGGAAGCAACTGTTCTTTCTCAGCTGGGCTCCTTGAATTGCAAAATTTGGAGGAACCCTGATGAGGATATTAATGCTAGAGAACTTTATAGCATATATACACAGTCAATATTTTTTTTCCTTTTTATTTGCAATTAGTATTTGCAATTCAAATTAGTTAATAAGGATACAGTAGATGTGTTTCTGTAGGGGACTCTTCCAGAGCATTTGAATATCACTTTTGCACTTTCTTTGGATGGACCAAGTAATTACATCGTACTTTGTCACCTGCCATGCCCTAAAACCAATTAGAATTAAACATTTGCCACCCACATTCATACTTCCACATCCAAAGGAGACAAATTTACATTTTTTCTTGGATGATACACATTTTAGGTTATTAACACTATACTGGATAGGATATTGTATAAGGAATTTATCAATGCAAAAGATAGACGTTAAGAAAAGTCTTTAATATTTTTGGCTAGATATAATTTTTTTCATAACATTGAGAACCATGTATTTGGAAATTCTTGATTTTAATATGATTTCTTTTGAAAGTAGCTTTTTTGAGGATAACAGAGCAAACCCTTATTTTATCAATGAGTACTCAATATAAAAACAAGGAATACAAATGCAGAGGGATATCTGTAATATATAATAGGTAGATTTATTGAGTCTTTTCTATAGAAAAATTTCACTTTTTGGATATCATATTCTTTAGCAGTTTGTTTCATTATTGTGTTGTCAAATGTTTGACAATAGAGTTCAGTGCTACAACTTTGATTTTGTAATATGCTTTTGCGAAAGAATACCATCATGAGCCATCACTTAAAAATTCTATATTTTAAACATTATTTCCAGCAAATTTGAGATTTGGGGCAGATTAAATAACTAGATTATATGAGGAAGAAAATGAAAATGAAAACCCAGATTTTAAGAATCATTAGAAATCTGGACCTTTTTCATTAGATTTTTCCATCAGAAATTACAACTGATAATCTAGAAATATAATCTAAATTATACTAAAGGGGAAGAAACTATCTAGCCCCTAAGACCAAGTCATTTGGGCATATCACAGTATCATTCAAATTAAGCATATATGATTTTATGTTTTGTTCACAAAAATCTCTAAGTTATATCACGCTAGAAATTTTCCCTGATATAAATCAAACTAATAAATTCAAATTCATTGTAAGTATAAAAGGATTTCAGAAGTTGTGATTTGAATATTGATACATGAGAGTAACTGCAGATGAATTATTCTTTTTCTATTTATTTGTGTTGTATTGAAGTATAAAATGTTGTATCTCTAATGGTGAATTTTACTCAAAATTTTTCTAACTGGCCTTTAAGTCCAAATGGTTCCTCAGTCTCATTTTACAAATGTAGAGAGCAGTTATAAATTTCATACCAAGGACATTTGTAAGACAGCACTGATTCAGTAATGTCTTTTTCTCTTTGTGTAGGGTAATCATCTCTGTTGTTTTTGCTATAGGGGTACCTTTGGCCCTGTGTCAGCGTTGGTTATCATTGGCTGGTGTAGTCTTTCAGCTTCCAAAATCTTCATTTCAGCCTTGGACATGGAAGGACAGCAGCTTCTCATTGCCTACCCTTGTGCCTTACTTTATGGACTTTTTGCTCTCCTGACAGTTTTCTAAAGTGTGTTTGAGATGGCATTGTAAGCTATTTGTTTGCTATTTAGATAATCCTGGAAATGTATTAGCATTCAAATTGGTAACAGGATCTCTGTTTTATTTCTGTTGAAAGAATAATAGGCAGAGAGGCAAAACAGCACTTAAGGATGATGCTCTAATAGCTTGTTGTGTTTGACTAATGTTTTGCTTTTGTTCGGAACATTAAAACAATAAAAAATGCTTTTAAAATAAAAAGAGATGTAGTTGTTGAACCCTGCTTTACTCAGTAGGTATATTTCTGAGAAAATTTAAGTAAATAAAGCCATATTTTGACTGGATGAAGGAGATATATGGTGAACCCTTTGAGGTAACTTCATGTCGGCTCTAGCTGTGTGCACATGAATAATGTCCCACTGTCTAGCACCTCTGGAGAATTAGAGGGGTGAGTTATATAGGGTTTGATTTACCTAAGAGTCAAAGAACTCCTGTCTGTCAATTTAACTTTAGCAACTATTTTCCAGAGTATTTTTGTCCCATATGGTCAATACATTAACTCACCACTTTTTAAAGCTCTGACTTCCTTCTTGATTTAGATACCATGATTCGTTACTATCCTCTCCCTTGTGTGATCCTCAGCAATCATACCATTTGCTCTCTAAGTAGATGAATATAACTAGAGAAAATCTTATTTTTTTCACTTTAATTATATTACTATATCTTAAATGGCTCCTCAGTAACTACCTTTTAAATCTATTGCATTACCCTATTAAATTTGCTTTCACAGTTTTTGAGACAATTGTGTCACATTATTTTTTCACTGCTCGAATCCCCACTATACCTTCCTCAATTTTTTATAGTTAGTTGATTACCTTTCTTCTTCTTTTATGGAAGAGTAGAAACCTCCAGAAGAAAAGCATTTCATATTCCCATGACCAGCTTACCATCCTAGATGTATATTTACACATATATATAGATGTATGTACATATATGCACTATCTTTTCTTCCTTCACAGCCAGCCCCTCCACCTGCCTAATGACTATTTTTTACTTATAGACATTTTTTACTTATAGACATTCCTCTACTTATAGACATTCTCATTCCAATTCCAATATGAAAGGGTTTTTACCCACACCATGCACTACTCCAATACCATCTCAGTGTCCTACAACCCAAATCAATTATGACACTATTTACTTGGATATAAGTCCAAACTCCATAGGTTAAGGGCTTAGTCCCACGAGAGTGCCTTCCCCACTTCTGACACCAATTGAAAGTTCAGGTTATCATCTGTGCTTATGATTGCTCAGCTATAATGTTTGACTTCCATTCTGTTCCTCCTCCAGACTTCCTCACCTTTATTACAGGGAGCACAAATCACCCAGTTGTTCATTCTAAAAACTAGCAATCTGCCTGTCTTCACCACTCCTACTTTCACATCCAACATCTTACTCATTCCTGTTGACTCAGTAATCAGAATGCATTGTAAATTTGACCATATCTCATGAGCTACTTGATTGCCAATGCTACTCCAAGCCACTATCATCTTTTGCCTACCAGAAGCAGTCTCCTGGCTGGTTTTCCACTTCCATAGTCTCCCCACAATAGACTTTTTCTACACATAGCAGCCTTGGTGATCCTTTAAAAATGTAAATCAGTTGTGTCATCACAAGCCCAAGACCCATCTGTGAGTTTCATTCATATAGACAGAAAAAACAATCTTTTCAAAGCAGGGAAGCTGGCTATTCAGAGTGGTTCCCAGAACAACAACATGCACCACCAACCCCATGCCCGGTCAAGCTTGTTATAAATGCACATCTCAGCCTCTGCCCCAGAACAACTTAACTGGATTCTACATTATAGTCAGATCCCAGATGATTTGTATGCATAACAAAGTTTGCAAAACTCCAACTGAGAGAGAAGTCTCCTCTGCTTGCATGTATGATCTAACCATGTTTGACTTTCCCAACTACATCTTCTACCATTCTCTCCCTTACTTACTGTTTTTTGTTTGTTCGTTTTTGGCTATTTCTCTAACCATCAAGTTAATCCACTTCAGGATCTTTATAGTCTGCTACTGCCATTTGACCTTAAGTTTTTGGTTCTATCTATTTCCTTGTCCAGTTTTTTTTTTGTGTGTGTGTGTGTGTGTGTGTGTGTGTGTGTAGCCTGTTCTTTGATTTAGGTACAAGATCTTCTTTCAACATTTCTTGGGTTAGGGTGGGAAATCTAGTAATTGAAATGTTCTTCAGCTTCTGTTTATCCAAAAAAAAACCCTTTATTTCTCCCTCATATCTGAAGGACATCCTTGTAGGATAATTTGCTGGAGGTTTTGTTTTTTTTTTAAGATTTATTTATTCATGCATATAAGAACCGGGATACAGGCCAGATGTGCGAGAGGGTGAGAGGATTCACCAGAGACAGAGTGGGGAACAGAACAGGCAGACACCTGAAATACACTGCTGAGGGGAGCAGTGGGTGAGACAGGAGGGTCCACTGTGCCATTTGGGTATCTCTGCTGTGGGCTGGGGGATCGAACCCTCACCATAGATGCTTCACAGTGCTGCGCTCAACAGCCTGCGCCACCAGGGTGGCCCTGCTGGAGGTTTTTAATCTCTAAGTGTTTTCATCACATCATTCTATACTATTTTCCTTTGTAAAGAGTGAAATTTAATTATGGGTCAGTAGAGTACATAATAGAACAAATGTTAACGTTAAGAAAGCATATTTAGGGCACACAACTAGAAATATATAGAGATGTATTTTGTTATTGTTGTTGTTGGTAAACTTTTTCACTTTGTCTTTTCCTCAAAAAGATTTCTTTTATCTGAGAAAGTAACATTTTTCACTTTTCCGTCCTTACAAGTTGGATAAAAGTTACATATTATGTGTTAAGGGTAGATGACACATTTGGCGTCAAAAGATGGCCTTTATTTCTACAGGAATGATTGGGGACATGTGCTGAAAATAAAAGTCCTGAATTACTCAGACTCAAGTGCCCCAGTTCACAACAGTTTAAGTAGGGCAGTGGCCTTTGCAACATTTGACGATGCTTTTCTACTCTGCTCTGGTTTCAAGTGAAGAATGCCAATTGCAAAGCCATATTGTCAATCTCTGACTCTTCTTTCTCTTAGAGTACTGAAGGTGTTATTCTTAAGTACTTTGGCCTAGTAGTGCAGTTGGTAAAGGGGTTATGTCAAGGCCAAGTAAACTTTTTGAAAGTGTTTCTAAAAATATTAACACAATTTTATGAATTTGAGAAAAGTGGTTTTGTAGAAATTTTATTTTTTTTACTACCAAGCATCTAAACTTACTTCTTATATCAAAGGTATTGTTTATCTCCCAAAGAAGAGACCCTCTCTTTGGGCAACCTGGCAACCAGTGGCACATGAATTAGGATCAGTCAATTAGATCCTTTTATTAGCACCTGGAATGCTGAGAAAGTGATACGACAGCAGAGAATTTATCCTGTTTAATAAAAATTGTGGAACTTGTGGATTTAAAGTCCTTCTGAACTTCCCTTGGAGAGTTATTTGTCGACAGATGGGTGACAGAAGCCTGTCCCACTGCAAGCCAGGTTGTTCTCTTATCAAAAGTGTATTAGAGGAACTTTCATAAAGTCATTTCAAATTTCTTGGATTCTGTCAGATGTGATTGTTTATAGAGGTCCCCAAATCCTGTTTAGTGTTTCTATGTTTGATATTCATTCATTTGCCCACAGATATTGTTGGAGTGAGTCCAAAAAATAATAAAATATGAAGGATGCATTATTTTTGTTAACACTGACTACAAATGCATTTATTTTTATATCTGTTTGGAAATGACCCTGGAATTGCCCCTCTGTAAGGAATCATAGAACCTAGTGTAATACTTTACACATCTATAATCTATATCCTACGTAACCATGCCGAGTCATAAGTGCTGTGAAGAAACAATGCTTAATTAAAATGATAAATCAGAGCCATAAATAACTTGTCCTTGATGCACTGACATGCATCAATACTTACTTGATCTTATTAGAAATACCACATCCAGGAAGATTGCCCAAGTTAAATCCCCTTCAGCATACTTCGGTAAAATAGATTCTGTAAATAGCCATGAGAATTTGCATAAACATTACGTTTTCATAGATTATTATATGAAATTTATAAATTTTGTTTACTGATCTATGCTTTCAATCATAATTTAAGCTAATCTTAATAAAATTCTTTTTTTAAGATTATTTTAATTTATTTATACATAAAAGAACTGGGGTCTAGGCCAGAGATGTGGGGTATGAGAGGATTCACTAGAGACAGAGTGTGAAACAGAACAGGCAGATTGACTGAAATACACTGCTGGGGGGAGCAGCAGACGAGACAGGAGAGGTCTGCTGCTCCATGCGAGACAGCTCCTTGACTGGGGATCGAACTTATGACACAGTGGCTGGTGATACTTGATAGTACTGAGACTTAACCCCTGTGCCACCAGGGAGGACCTATTCTTAATAAATTTTTAAACTTGAGCTAAGAATGAACATAAAATATTTTAAAATAATCATCATAACTATATTGGATTGCATGCAAGTGTCATAGAACTTTAGAACTAGTAGCCGTTCTTTTTAGTGACCCAGAACTGCCAGGGACAGGCTTTTACCAAGACTTTGGGTGTGAGCCCATGGGTGTGGGCCAATGGTTTTTAAGACTCGTACTCTGGTTTTCTAATTTTCTTCTTTTCATAGGTAGAAGAAGAAGAAAAAAAACAAAAACTATGTATTTATAGATGTATATAATAGGAATGAAAGAAATGTCTGAAGAACTAATAGGTAGTAGGCATCTATTATGTTTCAGTATTTTAAATAGCATATCTCATTTCACCATCAGAGAGGATGAGACATTAAATCAGTGAAAAAAATGTAAGGTAAGAGAACACAGTGCCCTTTCTATATGCTCTCATAGCATCCTGTGTCTACCCTTGGTGCAGGTGCCTGTCTACTTGGTTATACCTTTAGTGGAGTTAAGTGTCTTGGGGACAATGACTATATTAATTTGTTATGATTTCCAACATTTACTACCACAGACTGGATGGCATAAGCAACAGAAATTTATTTTCTCACAGTTCTGCAGGCTAAAACTTTCAAGAACAAGGTATTGGTTAAGTCGCTTTCTTCTGAAACTCTCTCATTGGTTTGCAGATGATTGCCTTCTTCCTGTGTCCTCACCCAGGCCTTCCTTGGTATGCATTTCTGTGTCCTAATTTCCTCATCTCGT